GTACCAAAAAAAAAAAAAATAATAATAATAATAAAATACAATCCAAGAATGATGAGGAAATGGAGACATTTTTAGAAAATTTATTATCAGCAGACTTCTACTAGAAGAAATAGAAAGGTACTCTTTAAGCAGAATAAAATTAACCTCAGCTGGAAGGCCATATTGTTTGTAGGTAATGGTAATCTTCACTGAACTACAGCATGGCATCTAAACACAAGATAAATAAGACATGAAGCAATAGTACCTTTTAACTCTAAAGTAGAATAAGCTGAGTATTTTATGATCCTTATAATAATGTCCAATAAGAGGTTTTCAAAAAGTGACAAAAATACAAGTTTACTAAACATTAATAAACCAAAAAAGACAGGTTAAAATTTCTTGGGTAATCAGTACAACAAACATGAAAAAAAGTGTGCATATAATATTTGCTTTCTGATTAGAAGTACAATAGAAAATAATGCAAAAGAATGTCAAAAGAAAAAGGAAGTCTAGGTGAAACATCAAATAAAGAGAGTATATTCAAATTCCCATGTACTGATAATTCTGTTAAAGAAATTAGAAAGACAGAGTGTATCTTTTTTTGGTACTGGAGACTGAACTCAGGTCCTTGTGCCTGCACAGCAGGCGGCAAAACCACTGAGCTAAATCCCTGGCCTACACAGAGTGTGAGAATAGCTGAAAAACAAAATCCACCTCTATGTCCTTCAAAGAGAAGCATCTAAAATATCAGGATATAAAAAGATTAAAAGTAAAGTAATGGGAAAAATATGGCATGCTATATTAACCACAGAAATCTGGTGTTAACTATGCTAGATGTAGGCAAAAAGTAGTACAGTACTAGACAGGGGTCAGGCACAGCAGGAAAAGACCTGACTCACCTGAAAATAATTTTAATTTGTATGGACCTAAAAATATAGCTCTGAAAAGTTCACAGCAGACACAGCGGCATAGCAGTTAACAGACAAATACACCTCACAGTGGCAGGCGGCAGGCCCTGAACAGCTAACAGAACAGCTCGAGATTTTAAGGCAGACTGAGCACCCTACTTTATCAATCTCACCTGGATGAAACACACAGACATGCAGCCAGCAGCCACGAAAGGTGTTCCCTTCAAATGCACAGCGACATTTTCGGCACACACTGATCCATGCACCACATCTAACACATTTCACAGGACCACAACCAAAACTCCTAACTACAGTACAACTGGGCTACCGTCAACACTTTAAAAACTGGAAAAGCTCCTACGTGCTGGGAAAGTAAGTAATACACTTAAAAACAAACAAAAAGTGGCAGGCTTAAGAAGCTGGGCAGGGTGCTGCAGGCCTGTAATCTCAGCACTCTGGAAGACTAAGGCAGAAGGACTGCAAGGTCGAGTCCAGCCTGGGCAATTTAGCACTTCAGGGAGACCCTGTTTCAAAATAAACTAAAAAGGGCAGAGGAAGTACCTCAGTGTGAAAGCCCTGGTTCAAGCCCCAGTACTGTCAACAAACAAAACAAAACACCCCCAAAACAAACAAACAAAGACACGTCATGGACTTAAGGAATTAGAAAATATATTGAACAGAACTGATAATGAAACTATGACGTGTCAAAAGATAAGATGAGGGCCAGGGATTTAGCTCAGTGGTTTCGCCGCCTGCTGGGCAAGCACAAGGACCCCAGTTTGATCCCCGGTACCAAAAAAATAAATAAATAAATAAAAAACAAGTAGAAATGGGAGAAATCATTTTAAAAAAAAAGATAAGATGAAAGGAAAAGCTCGCGTTCAGGGAAATTTATTCCATTAGATGCTATTAAGAAAGCAAGGCAGAAAAATCAGTGAGCTAGGCATTCATCTCAAGAAGTTGGAAAAACAGCAAATTAAACTCATACAAAGTAGAAAGTAAGTTGGGACAATCCACTCAGTAACTGTAAGTTTGTTTTATAAACTCCTTTATGTATACTAAAAATTGATGAGGCCAGGGTTTTAGCTCAGTGGTGCCACCACTGCCTGCGTCGTAAGCGCAAGGTCCTGAGTTCGATCCCCAGTACCAAAAAAAAAAAATTGATGGGAAAATTTTTTTTTTAATTTAAAAGACATTTGAAGCTGGGCATGGTGGCACACACCTGTATCCCAGCAGTGTGGGAGGCTGAGGCAGGAAGTTTGTATGTTCCAGCCCAGCCTGGGCAACATAACAGCTCAGTGAGACCCTGCCTCAAAACAAAAACTAAAAAAAGGCCAAGGATGCTCAGTGCAAAGAACGTGGGCTAAATCACAGTACTGCAAAGAAAAAAAGGTACTTGTAACAAAACTGAAGGGCCGTGCATGTAGCTCAGTGGTAGAGCATCTGCTGCACGCGCAAGAGGCCCAGGTTCAATCCCCGGGACTACAAAAACAAGACTGAAGCCAGGAAAATGGAAGACGTGAGAAACAGTACGTGTTTTTCACAGGGACCTTGTTTCCTCTCATCCAAGAACAATCACAAGAAACAATCTTAGGTTCCGTAGGGAAAGGCTACCTCTGTCTGCCCCTGGTCGGCAGTCAGCGTCTCATCATTCTCGTCCACTTCAGAAGGGCTCTCCAGGGCATCCACCTGCAGGGTGACGGGCCCTTTGCTCAGCTGTGCCTGGGATTGCTCGTTTAAATCTCCTGCCGGAAGAGATGATACTCAGCTTGCAAGTGCGCGCTGACCCTTAGACACCACCGGCCTGCCGGGCGGGCTCTTAGCACCCCACGTCAGCTGTGCTGGGCAAAGGGGATCTCGCCTGCGGGCTCCGTTCTCTGCCTCCCAGCTGCTGACACACTCACTGCACGGTTTTACCACCCCTGTTCCACACAGGGCTGAGAGTGAGGACTTGTTCCTGATGACAGAGCGCCAAGCATGCCTCTCACTGCTGGGGCATGCGCTCTTTACGGAGAGCACCAAGTCGTGCACAGCCCACACACATAGCAAGGACACTGTTTGCACACAGAGCTGCTTAAAAGTACTTAAAAGTTGGCCAGGGAAATCCGGCTTAAAGTACTTTTAATAGATGTCACATTTAATAGATATATCATGATCTCAATTCCAAAACATATGTTTAACTACAAGTCTATCTAAGTAGCAAACACAATATCTATTATTCATTAACTTGGAAACTTAATAGACCGCAGTTAACTAGAGCATCTGAAATTATCTCATTTAGTTTCATTTTTTACGAAAGCATTTGAGTTGGGTTATGGCTGACTTGTTTCTACTTTAGACTGAAATCCATAAAGAATATTGAAATCTAAACAGTACTGAAAAATTACAAAGTAGTACATACATTTCACTCATAAAGAACAACACTGCAAAATGACTGTTACAAGTTAAAAAAAAGAAGGTTCTCTAAAAACTTTCAGTCCGTTACCTGAAGACAGATTAGAGTTCAGATGAGCCATTTCCTTTTCCAAATTACTTCTCGACACCTCAGACTTTCTGATTAAAGCAATAGGTTCACTCTTTTCAGGTGAGCTAATAAAATAACCAAATGATGGCTACAAAATAAGTAAACATGAATTACTTCCTTCATTTTCAGCTGTTGTGCAATAGTCTACATGATTTTAGCTAACAACGGTAACACAGCTAAATGATTTCAACAAAACTGTTCTTCCCACTTAACTGCCAGTAGAGATGATCGTAAATGTTGAAACAGAACCTTTTATTTCCTTAATGCTAGCTGTCTTTCCATTATTAAAATTAATATTACCAAGTAAGTTACCTTTACTAAGAAATCCCAATTAAAATAGCAAAAATGACACTTTATCCCTTCAACTGTTAACCTGGACCTACTGTAAGTTCTGATCATCAGTAACGCATCAATGAGAAAAAAGAAAAGCACTCCTGTCACCTAGGACTTACAGTGTAGTGATGTCTTCTACAGACTAAATACACCCCAAACACATGCTAAGATTACTTGTGTTCCTACAACTTGCCTGAAAGTTTCAGAAGGAGTTATGCTCAAAGAGCTTACGAAAGCACATGGATTCCTACTCATGTTTCTTACACAACTTTCACATGCTAGGTCTAAACTGTGAATTCATTAAACATACTCAATATTTTATTGATCTTCCCCTGGGAATTTCTTCCTTTGATCTAGTAACTTGAATGCATGTAAAATTTCTTAGCTAATATCAGAATTAAAATGCTAAGTAACAGATCTAGTTTTCCACGATCCAGCGCTTTGTTCTTTGCTGGGGGAAGGTCTTACTATGCAGTCCAGGCTGGCCTTGAACAAGCTGTGTAGCCCAGGTTAGCCTTGAACTTGCGGTGACCTCCTGCCTTAGCCTCCCCAGGCTAGAATTACAAGTGTGCACCGTCATGCCCGGCTCCAGTGCTTTGTTTATCCATTTATTTAAGAAGGGACTCAGTTACTCTTCAACTTCTCTCGCAATCTCAAAAATCCCAACCAATCTAGGCAGAAAAATTTGCCTCTCTGAGGTATTTATTTCCATTTTTCAATTAATGCACAGATAAGACAGGGACATAGCAGATAGAAAGTGGTTCTGTTAATGAACTAACAACTAGCGATTACCAACACTACATCTATTGTTTCATGGTTATAATCTGTGAAATCTAGGCTTGACAACTGCTCTCCCCCAGACACTGCTTTCCTCTGTGGAGTCACCAGCAGCTGAGCTCTATGTCTGCACATCGGCCCAGACCCAGCCTCCACAGCCCTCTCCTTTCACAGCCTTCGCCTGCTGCTGTTCTTCCTCCAGCCTCTGGCCCTCTCCACCCAGCCCCGGCAGAGTTGGCAGCATGGGCTGGGCCTGGAGAGGCCCCCAGGCAGGAGAAGGCTGCTCGTGCCATGCAGCACTTTCCTGCCCATTCACCTAAGGTTCAGCCCAGCTCCTACAGGAAGCCCGCGTGCCCAGCCATCCTGATCCTACCTGCCCACCTGGCCAGACCCAAACGATGGCTCTGTCTGCCTTTGAGGCTCTACTCTCCTTCTCAGCACCCTGCTCCGGTGGTACACCACTTACGGAGTGTGTGCAAGGCCCAGGCTGCACATCAGCACCACCAACCAACCATGTGACACCGAAAAACAAACGCTACAGTTGGTGCTAAATGCCTTACAAACCCCATCATACCCAAATCTTACAGCACCCGGTAACGGATGGCAAAGCTTTTAGACCTTTCAATGAGACAAACAGCCCACTGCAGCACACATGCCACAGGTTCACCACCACTGCCCTATAAAATAGCCCTTCCCTTCAGAAATGGGGACATTAAGGTAGAGAAGAGTTCACTTGCTCAATGTCGTATGAAAAGGCACAGCTAGTACCAGAGTCAGGTCAGACTGACTATAAAGCCTGAGCTTTCCCGCAAGTGCACACCTATAATCCCAGCTACTCAGGAGGCTGAGAAAAGAAGACTGCAAATTCAAGCCCAATCTGAGCAACTTGGAAAGGGACCCTGTCTCAAAAGGAAATTTAAAAAAGGACTGGGATAAAACAGTGGAAGGCACTGCCTTTAATCCTCAGTAGTGCAAAAAACCAAAAAACATAAACATAAGCTTTTGGCTGAGTACAGTTTGCAAATTCAAGGCTAGCCTGGAAAACTTAAGACTGTCTCAGAATAAAATAAAAAGGGCTTGGGGGGGCTATAGCCCAGTGGTCGAACTTGGAAATTTCTTGCCTAGCATCTGAAGCCTTGGATTCAATCCCCAGCACAAGACAAAAGGAAGAACCTAAGCTATTAAGCACAATCCTACTGTGTCCCTTATTCTGCCTGCTTCACTGTTACAGTTCCAGTCTTCCCACCCTAACACCGAAACTCAAACCCACACTTGGGTCTGAGCACATGGTTTGTCCCCAAAACTCATGCTGAGCAGTGGCAGGACCACAGCCAGAGAGGTTTATTCAAGGCATGATTACTGCTCGTTGAAAGCTCTCCCCAAAAGTCACATTGAAACCTGGTGTCAAGAGGTGCCAGGGGTTCTACAGCCTTTGGGAGCACGAGAAATCTGCCCTCATGAGGGGATTAATTCCATCCTGAGAGAGTGGGTTAGTGACCAAGAAGGCACTGTTCTAAAGGAACTCAGTCTCCTCCCTTCCACACGTAGCCTTTCTGCAGCAGCTCCAGCCCGATCAGAAGCTGACCAACTGTGGCAGTCACATCCTGGGCCTGGCCTCCAGAGTGGTTAGCCAAAATAACCTCTTTTTTACAACTTAACCAGCCTCAGGTATTTTAATACAGCAGCACAAAATGACTAAGACATCAGTAACTCTACCCACCTCTAATACTTTTCATACTCACTCTTTTCACATTGTTACCACCACCAAGGCAACCAAGAGCTTCAGACCTTTGAGCAAAGAACTCTCCTAAGGACAGCCGTAGATAACTAGCATCATCTTTGTCCAGATCTGATGTGCTGACTGATTTCCTCAACAGATTATAATTAATTGTAGCTGCCCACGACGTATCGCCTAGGGCAGCTGAAATGTTCTGAGCATCTATGTTTTCTTCCTAGAAAGAGAGTTGTTACTTCTTTCTTTTTCCCCTCCCAGCAGGCATACTTTCTGTTCTTCTAATATGTGAAATTTTAACTTTCACACACACACAAAAAAGAAAACTGGAAAATTAACTTATAAAATGTTGGGCAAAATATTTGGACAAATTTAGATATAAATAGCTACAAAAGCTACAGAATAACTCATTTTTTAATACCTGAGTTATAATATGCACTGTCTTAATACACTTTAGTACTCAATCAAACCCTGATGGTCACAAAGAACCTTTAAAAGCACACATCCTCACTAAAAACAGGGTTAGCTCAGGGCCAGGGATGTAGCTCAGTGGTGCAGCACCTGCCTGGCAACCACAAGGTTGTGAGTTCGATCCCTGTTACCAAAACAACGACAACAGCAACAAAACAGGGTTAGTTTATTTTAAAATAAATGTTTAAAACTATGGAAATATTCAAAAGAAATAAGTTGGTAAAATGGGAAATACCTATTATAAAGTGAACTAAAGATTCATTTCATAGGGGTCGGGGATTTACCTCAATGGTTTTGCCGCCTGCCTTGCAACCGCAAGGACCCGAGTTCAATCCCAGGCACCAAAAAAAAATAAAGATTCATTTCATTTCACTTCATTTTTGCAGTTCTGGGATCAAACCCAGGGCTTCATTCATGCTGGCCAAGTGCTATACCACTGAGCTACAGCACCAGCCCAAAGATACATTTAGGTATGCCAGTATTTTTCAATCAATAATTTAGAAGAGAAAGCCACAAGTTGTTGTAATGTGAAAAATAAGAAATAATTCTAAACTAGCAGAGAGAAATGAACATTTTGCCTATGTTGAAATTAATACAAGAAAAATTTCAGACTTTGGTTAAAGCAAATAATTACAAACCTGTATAAACTGATGCTCTTTATTAAATTCTTCTTCATCTTTTGCAATCAAATCCAATACTTCAGCTTTAAAAAAGAAGTTTATATAATTACACTATGCTAGTGCACAAAACTTAGCTATCCAGGAAAATGACATTCTAAGGAAACACAAGCTTTAAAATGACGTGAAAACATTCACTCATGAGACCTACACATCTGTACCAAATACGTAAGTCTGTGGTTGTCAGACTTTGCTAATGAGTACATTGTAGTTGATTTTATACTTACTAATTTGTTAAAGGGGCTTTAAAACATAATAAGCTTTTTTTATTTTTAGAAGATTCCAGTTAAGCCAGGTACAGTGGCACATGTGCATAGTCCCACCTACTCAGGAGGCTGAGGCAGGAGGGTTGCTTGAGGCCAGGAGTACAAGGCCAGCCTGGACAACACAGTGACATCCCCATTCCCTCCCTGGAAGACCCCAGTCAAAAGAGGGACTTTAGCTTTTTTTGTTTTCAATACTGGGGACTGAATTCTGGGCCTTCACACTAGGGTGAACCCCCAGCCCTTTATTTGTTATTTCCAAGACAGGGTCTCACTAAGATGCTAAGTTGCCCAGACTAGGCTTGAACTTATAATCCTCCTGCCTCGGCCTCCCAGAGTGCTGGGATTATAGGCACGCACCACCACCCAGTTTATTGTTAGCTTTTTTTTTTTTTTTGGTACCAGGGATCAAACTCGGGACCTTGCACTTTCGAGGCAGGCAGTGGAACCACTGAGCTAAATCCCTGGCCCAACTGATAGCTTTTAAGAGTGTGGTACACCTGAGTGTAGGTGCTTGCCCACGAACACACATGAAATTTCACCGGGCACCATCAGCCATCAGGCTGACAACCTGAATGCATCTGCACAGCCAACACCTCAGATCCACAAACGTTAACACACCCAGCACCAACAGGCTCTCACAATGCCTCCGACTACCACTCTCCCCAGTCTTACCCCACAGGCGTGTGCATGCGAACCTGCACACAGACAGCAGTACATATTGTGTATTCCCAGTGTGCACTATTTCAGTCAACACAACCACATGATTCAGGCCTGTTGCTGCAAGGAGCTGAACGGGTCTCATGCCCATTGCTCCGCAGCACCCTGTGGCTGTGTCACCTGCTGATGGGAATGTGGGAGGTTTCTGGTTTGGGGCTAGTAAGGAGCGCTGCTAGAGACAATCAGTGCATGTGTGTTGGTGAATACACAGGTACACACTCAGGTGTGGAGTCACTGGGTCAAGAACATGAAGCTAAGGTAGCTTGCCTTGCCAAGGTGCTGGCCTGTCGCTTCCAAAACGCCAGTGTCAATCTACTGTCCCGCCACACCCAGGGAATCCCAAGGCTTACGACTTGGAATGAGAAAGTCAACATCCACTGTTCACCCTGGACCTTCACGATCCTTTGAAATCAAGGCACTACTGAACACATCTTCACAGTAACTTACCTTCAGAATCCAACCACTGAATACCTCCATCTCAAACCACAGTCACCCAAAACCCACAATTCCCTCTGATCTCTCTAAAATGGCAATGCCATTTTCCCAACTCTACCAACCTCACTCTTGCCTTTCTACCATCTCCTGAAAGCCAGCCATCAAAGCTTCACTGTCCTACTTCAGTCTTTCATTAGCTACTTACTCTTCCCTTTCATTCATGTGATCTCCACTACCAGGCTCACAAAGCAAGGCCGACTAGCAACCCAAGCCTCAACTCTGACCTGGAAGCCAACCACCCCTTGCTCCCAGCCCTGCCCTGCCCTCTGGTCTCTTCTAACTTTCCCTCTGTAGCCCAAGTGTCAACCATACTGGACCAGATGCCTTCACAAAACATGCCCAAGCCTTCTAAGCTCATTCTCTTTCCTTTGAGTTTTTCCTTGCGTTTGGAATTTCTCATGCCCACAAAAGACTAGCCATTAAAACTCTACCTCCAAAGTAGCTCTGTGAAACACTTTTGCCATCTACTCATGCAAAAGTTACTTCTCCTCTAAAGTATTTGTGCCTCCTCTCCTAAGGTCGTGACTTGGCTGCTTTACCTCTGCAATGCTGAGTGCAGGAGGCAGTGATGCTCCTTGGCATCTTGCGGGCCTGCGGAGAATGAGTGCGGCACTGTGGGCCAATGGGCACCTCTCTCCGTGCCAGCTGCTGAGGTACGCAGGCAAAGGTGCAGTGCTGTGGCCACAAACTGTGTCTGCAGACCCAGACCAGCTAGTGTGTCCACTGGTGGAGGCGACACCAGCCAGCAAACCCCACTGCTTCTTTGAGGCTTGCATCCTGTGAGATTCTATCTTTCCTGTCACTTTTCTTCCACTATTTCCACATCTGTTAGCATCTTCACCAGAACATTTCTTTTGCTCAGGATGGCATATTGAGAGGAAACAACTAACCCTAAAGTCCTATCTAACCTTGCAGTGCCAAGGTCCTAATGAGAAGCGAGAGCACTGGTCCGGCTCACTGGCCTTACATAAGGAAATGAGCACAAGTGACTGGCCCCAGCCTTCGTTCTAAAAGCCAGTGAGGCTCTTGCAGGAGACAGTCTATCCCAGAAGGGATCTGATGTGGCTGACCAGTACATACAGAGTCATCTCAACATCAGCAGGAACAACGAAGGTGGTACAATAAGTGGTTACCCACATACTTACAACCAGATCTGAAGACTTCATTCATGTCATTCGGAGGCACTTTTAAATCCTGTTCATTATTAAAAGATGTGTAATAAGCAAGGTCAGTGACCCACCTGCCATCTTCATTTTGATAAACCACATTCTGTGGGAGGTTCGTTTCTAAAACATAAATTCCAAAAACATCCAATGATACAACTATGTAACAACTAAAATGATAAAATGTTCTCAAATAATTTTATGAAGTTGACTTTAGTTGTCAATAGCACTAAAGTCTGCCAAAACTAGTTAGAAAAAGGAAAATCCATTTCCTCAAAAGAAAAGCAACGCACTGATGGCAGTGAGTCAGCCTTATTTGCGAAGTCTACACTGGAGAGGGAGGGAAAACAGAAAAGCCTAAGTGTCATGGCTTGTATCCGGATGATCCCCAAGCCTTGTGTGCTCATAGGTGGGGCTTTTCGAAGGCGGCTGGATCTAGAGTGTGTGGATATGAATTAAGGGTGTGTGATATCTAAAATTAGTTCACTGGCTGGTTTAGCATATTTCTGGGTGTGAATAACAGGAAGGCCCACACTGATTGTGGGTGGCAGCAACCTATAGGCTTGTAGCCTGGATGGGATAGAAGGAAAAGGAAGGCTCGCTGCTGCTGCTGCTACTGCTGCTGCTCCCTGCCTGCCCTGCTATGGACTGCTTCTCCTCTGTCATGCCACCCTGCCTTGGAGCCAACCATGGCCTGAAACCTCTACAAACTATGAGCTAAAATAAAACTTTCCTCCTTTAACTTGTGAGTGCCAGGTATCTTGTCTCAGCAATGAAAAAGTAACTAAGATACTACGACGCCGAAAGGTAAGATTAGGACAACCTGACCTTGCAGTGAGTCTCTGTCCAAGAGTGTTATTTCAGAGCAACACTTCTCCAATACTAGAATATTTAAAAATCTTGGGTCGGGGATTTCGCTCAGTGGCAGTGCACCTGCCTGACAAGTGTAAGGTCCTGAGTTTGATCCCCAGTTCCGGAAAAGTAAATGAATAAAAAATTTTTAAAAATCTTTAAAATTCACATTTAAATACTTCAGTATGAAAGAATGGCAAGTTCCCCACAGAAACATACGTATTCAAAATGGATAAACATCTTAGATATTTCTTTAATCCTATTTGAAAAGATAAACTAGTTTCCTTACGGTCTTTACTCTTGTCCATGGACTCAGAACACTGACATGTTCTCCTTTCACAAGTTGGTGACCAAAGGGTATCAGTGGAATTGGTTCCATTGTCACCAGCATGCTTCAGAGATGTTGTGCCCACACTTTTCTGACCAGGCACTGCAGAAGACTCAGCATCTAAGCACCCATCCTTGGGCAAAATCATTCCAGAGTCTGACGCCCACTGAGCAGGTTCTGCCCCCTGTCCTACAGAGTCAGCCGGGTCAGAACCACCTCTGCCAGCGTCCATGTCATGGAAGCAAATGGGGTGAAGTTTCGCAGTGATAACTCGAGGACTCTGCACCAGAACATCCTCTCTCGTACACTCCTTTAAAAATCAGTAACAGAGAAACAAAAAATTGTATTTGTCAAAACTCATTTTAAAATTTTATGGGGAAAATTATGCACTTGATATAAGACATTTATTATATGAAGGAAGAGTCTATTCAGTATTTTACTGTATTTTAGGCTATATAGAACCATTATTACACAATTTACCAAAATCTAACTTTAAAATGGGCTCACAGCAAATATACACATCAGCTTTAGAAGACAAGGTAGTTTCTCTTTGTCTACTGCATTATGGGATGACAACTGCACATTTAATTTTTATAGTTACCAATAAAGTCTCTACAATTGGTTAAGCCCATTAGTGTGGCCACCAGCCTCATAAAGCTGGGAAGAATAAAAGCCATTGAAAACACAAATATTCACATCTTTTTTGTTTTTGTTTGTTTTTGGTACCGGGGATCAAACTTGGGACCTTGCGCTTGTGCGGCAGGCTCCGGAACCACTGAGCTAAATCCCCAGCCCTATTCACATCTTTTAATAGGAGTAAAATATCAGATACTATCAATGCCCTTAAGGAGCCAGTAACTATTTTATCAGACAGCAAATTAAGCCAGTGCTTCAAAACTATGATGCTCTCCAGCACTGTCTGAAATGGCACTTCTGGTTCTTTCCTAAAATAACAACTGCTGGGGAAAAGCTCACTGGTCTGAGACATCCAGCTGCTCGTGGTCTGAAGTGCCAACAAGAGGTGTAACAACAGCCCTCACTGTCATAGGAGACATGCAATAACAAAAACAGCCTCAGCAGCAGCTTCAAAAGTTAAAAGCAGGGAGTTCCATATAAGAGAAAGCATGTTGGCTTTGCAGTAAGAAAGACAAGTTCAAATCCTAGTGTCATCATTTATTAGTTGGTGTGATTTGCCAACATTATTATATAAAAGATAAAGTTTTAGATGTAAGGGTATGGGACAAAATGCCAATAGTTTTATATTCCCTAATGGATACATCTTTGAATAAGACACTTTAGTGTCTTGAACTGTGTTCCCCCAAGAAGATATATTCAAGTCCTAACCCAAGCACCTGTAAACCACAACATTATTTTGAAACAAGGAGGTCATCACAAGAGTCATGAGCACTGAAAGTGGAATGACCGCCTCTCATCCGTAAGGAACCACATGCTCCCCCAGAGAGTAAAGGCCAGCCTACAGTCCTGGGGCACAGTGCTGCCAAGGAGAGTGTAATGAACAGGCAGTCAGAGATGACCACCACAGGTCGATCCTAGGAGAAACGCGGTGTCCTTAACATAAAAAGATGAAATAATGAGAAATACATTTCAGCAAAGTAAAAGATGACTAGTTTGGCTTTTTATTTAATGACTACATATTGGGCTAAAGAACCTTTTAAATGAATAATCTAAATCCAAGTCATTAAATGTTTAAAGAAAACATACACAATTATATATTTAACAAAATCTTAGCAATAACATATTTATACACAAATACAAACATTATCAGTAGTGATTTTTATATTTCTTCTGTATTTTTCAGGAGTCAACAGTAATTGTTACTTTTAAAGAAACATATCATAGAAACACAAAAATCTTTTTTCCTTTTCATAGAAAATTTAAAGAAAATGAATCTAAACTTACTTTGGTATGGTCTGCCCTTCCCTTCTCGACTCTGCAAGTATTCGGGGAAAACAGAAACACACCGTCTACAAGCATCCTACCATCTCCAGGACCTACATAATGAGCTGAAAACCAAAACAAAAATTAATGGCACAATGTCATACTTGGCATAAAGTAATGTAATAAATGGTTTTTGCCAGTCCAATTATTTTATATAAACCTAATATTTAACATTCCTATGACAAATTTAGGAAATTGCAAATGAAAAAAGCAGCACTGGCCAAAGACCATAAACATGGCAAACTGCTGCCATGCAGAAAATTAGTTTCTAATTCTCAAATGTCTTCACAGAATGTAACCATTCTTAACACTCAACCCAAGTTGTACATACTGCAATATTTCTAATAGCAATTTACTCAAAATCTATGTTAAAAATAAAACAAGGGCGGGAATTTAGCTCAGTGGTTCCACTGCCTGCCTTGCAAGCACAAGGTCCCGAGTTCGATCCCCGGTACCAAAAAAAACAAAATAAAGAGAACAATCTCATTTGCAATAGCACACAGAAAAATAACAACCACAGAAGCAAATTTAACCAAGGAGGTAAATGGAACTCAGGAATTATCAACAGCTCTTTTGAAGTTTTAGACCGTCTAAAGATTTGAAGAGACAGTTAATATATGAAATCCTATCAAGAAAGAAATGAATTTTGCATTAAAAAAAAAAAAGGGTCAGGGTTATTTAGGAGGCCAAGGCAGGATGATACGAGTTCATGGCCAGCCTGGGGATATAATACAACACTTCCTGGGTTCAATCCCTAGCGCAAGAAGAAAAAGCAAGCAAAAGGGAAACATGAAACATAGAAGAAAGGAAGCATATGTGAACACTTACTGGTCCCAGATAAACAAACACGGCTTTCCTCAGTCTCTCTGTGAGTCGCTCTGGAAAGTTCTGAGCCATGGGAAATCAGAGTGCTGTTATCTTCCGATTGAATTTTACATCTTAAGCTGCTGTTTTCATTTGCCTGTTGAAAGAACATCTTAGCTGTAGCCATCTGTTCAATTAAAATTAAACACACTGAGGAGGGAAATGTGGGCCTTGAGGAGGTCTGCTCACTGAGGGCTGCCAGGTAACAAACACAGAAGAGCAGAAGAATCAGCACTGCGGCCAGGGGTGGACATCTTGTTTCCACAAGGCTTCAGGGGTAAAGGAAAGCCAGCTCGGGAAGGGCTGCTGAGGACAGGATGCTCAGCAGAGCTTGAGGGTCTGCCCAGAGGACTCAGGTGGAGCGGAGCAGAGCAGGGCCCTCCAGCAGGGGCGCCCGGCAGCACTGCGTACCACAAGCATTCCTGCCAAAATGTTTATCTAATCCAGCCAGGGGAAAAAAGTAATCAGATTTGTCTAGATTATGGGTCATTCTACACATCAAAGAGCCTAAACTGTATAAACTGTTTAATGTCGAGAAAGAATTCCAAATTAAAGGAATAAAGAAATATGACCATCACGGGCAGATATAATCTTTGATTGAATTCTGAATCATAAAAAATAAAAATTAAAAATATTTTGGGGAAAACTGGGAAATTTGAGTATGGCCTGTGAGTTAATTTAAACTATATCAAAGCTAGATAACAAAACTGTGATTATGCAGAAAAATGTTCTTTTGTACAGGAAAACTATCATAAAATGTTTACAACTTCTACATACTTGAGGGACAAAAAATGCTAATGTAGATAAAGTATATAAAGTCTACTGTACTATCCTTTTTTCATTTCCTATAGGCAAGGGGAAAATAAGAAGTAGGAAATACATGCTCTGCTTATCAATCCACAGCAAGGAAAAATAGAATCTAAAGAAACAAAGGGCTTAAGATTTAATTTTAACATCCAGTAACACCAACAGTATAAAGTCAAATTTCTAAAAAATATCATAAACATTGGAACATACCTGACTAGGACTTCTCGTAGATAACCTAAAATCTCTTTCTAGAGATTCCTGTCCTTCCAGATCTTCATAAATCATTCCCGGAATTGCCAATTGTTCAAAATAAGACTCCAAATGATCATCATAAAACTCTTCATCATTAATGTCATCATCTATCGCAAAGTGGAGAAAAATTAGGACAGGCTTTAAAGTAGGAACAGACCTATGTATAATTTTTAAGCAAGAAGGCTGATAAGACATAAATAGGTCAATGAGGTCAATGAATGGTATGATTGTGTTTTTGCATCTGCTGTGGGGAAATGACTGTAACTTCAGGGAGTTATGAGCCCTCACTAGACTAAGTGACCGTGCCAGGAGGGCAGGGTGGAAACAGACCCTGGCACATTGTGTTGGGTGCAGTAAGTGCAGCATCACACATCAGTGGAAGAAGGGCAGACTGTTCAGAAGATGTGAATAGTTACCGCTGTCGAAAAGGACAAAGAAGCCTATCACAGGAAGAGGGAAAGGAGGCAGGAAGAAGACAACACGGCAGTGGTTTTCAGAGCTCAGTGAAGGCAAGACTGAGTAAGAACTCTCCATGACATGCAGGGACTTGGGCGTTCCTGACTGGTGGAAAGTCGACTTTGCAGTCAACAGTAGGAGCCTTAATGCTCATAATCCCTGGCTCAACAATTCACCTTGAAGAATCTAGCCTCTGAAACAAGGGTCTCTGAAGTTCACATCAGTAATTCCTTATCTACAGTCCACACCCCACGAGTGTGGAAACTCAACTGGCAGTAAGACCTGCCCTGAACGACGTGACTCCTTCATCCCACTCAGCTCATCAGCCTGCTCTCAGAGCTTCAGCAACTTGGCACCGCTGCCTTTCTGGGTTTCTTGTGGCTGCATGAGGCTGCCATGCAACCAGACTGGCTGGTCTCCAGTCACGGTCAGGGGCCTGCACGGCAGGGCCACTGCTGGGGCTCCTTCTATCGCACAGCTCCAGCCAGCCAGGACGACTCTTCCCAGAAAGCTTCATGGATGCCCTCCTCAGTCAGAACCATCAGCCCCATGATTTCGAGGAACATTTCTGCACTACTGAAGTCTGCGTCATACAATCTCGAGTTGAGCTGTCCATGCGTCTCCTGCCTGGCCTTGGCTGAGGGATCTCAGAGAGCACAGGCTAACTAGACCCTTGCTCCTACAACGAGCGGCACCTTCAGGTGGCCACTTTGCAACTTAATGATGTCAAAGTAAGGAATAAGAATGATCATATCAGGATTCATATACAGAAATACATGTTTTAATCTTATTCACTCATCAGAAGTGGCCATCCTAGTGCCAGCAAGCAGAAGAAAAATGTGATCCAGAAGCTGGCATAATGACTACTGCCACAGAGCTGTGACACAAAGTGGAGTGGCGAGGCAAGGACTAGGGAAACACGAGTCATTCCGCAGTACCAGAAGAATCCTCCACGCTTGTCAAGGACACGAGTTTCTCATTTTCTAATAAGCTAAGATGGCTGAAGTCACTGTTCGGAGTCTTGTCTTCAGAATGTTTCTGAGCATCAGGTACAACAACCTAAAAGAAATAAAAGGGAGTATAAAAGAAGCACATTCGCTCCTCCACAGAGCACAGGACAAGGCTACAAAAGGAGCAAGCATTTCTCCATCTACAATGTGCTCTGGAGCTGAACGGCACGATTTACTCAATGAAGAGCACCCAACAATGTACAAGGACATTCACAGCCCTTTCCCTCTACGTGTCACTTTTATTGTATACTAATATTAAACACACAGTAAAACAATTCAGACCAGCTTAAGCATTAGACTGCAGAACATATGCCAATTTTTTGCACAACATGGACCTCAGTTCAGTTTTACACTTATGGAGGACAGTGCTAAGCAGGCCTCATAAGTACCCAAGGCACTGAAGCACTGGCCTTCAGCCTTCTTATTACTTGAGATTAACTCCCACTTCTGCTGAAGCTAGACCAACTGTAGTTCTGCTATATACAAGCAGAAGACTTTCAACTAATACTAACTAATGCATGATGTGAACTATGAACTTTCCCACCCCTGTGACAACCCAGAAACTGGTAACAAATATACAAACATTTACCTTGTACTCCTGATTATTCATCCGGGATCTTACATGAAAGTCAGCAGAAGAGTCTGTTGACAAACAACAAAAACAAAAACTGAGAAAATATTTTATCAGCTAAATAGCCAATAATACCTATGAACTGCAAATTAATGAACTGAACATTTTTATTGTGAAACAGAATAGAAGTACTTTCAAATGATGGCACAGGACTCCATTAGTAGTCCATTCAGTTGTTAAAACGCTGGGACGGAGAGTCTGTACACATGCCACAGCACCTACACATGCACTAATGAAGACTCTGCAGGGGACGCAGGGAAGGAAGGCAGAGCACTGATGGCTTCAGTGAGCAGACAGACAAGCCCACAGAGAGAGCCACCTGCAGGTTCTAACAGGTGCGGCTACAAGACAGGACCAAGGCACCATAACATCATGCGGCCTTCCCCAGACCCCAGTACAACAAGCCCAAGGTCTGCCACACGAAATGATAAGAAAAGAATTATGTTTGTCAGCTGTTAACAGCACTATGGTCATGTGAGAAAATGTCCCTATTTTTCAAGATGCATACTAAAATATAAAGAAATACAATGACGTCTACAATTTTAAAATACCAGGAAAACTAATGCTGAATTACATATTACAGCTATATGAGCCCAAAACATGTAATTTTCAATTTCCTATTTTGATTTGCAAATTATTTTTCCCATACTTTGTCCTTTTACTTTTTCAGTGGTGCCTTTTGAAGCATAAGTTTGCAATTTTGATAAAGTACAATTTAACTATTTTTCTTTTGTTATTTGTAAGTATGAAGAGCTAATACCAGTACAGGTATCTGTAGTTTTATACCTATTTAGCATTGTTAATTAAGAGAAACACAAGTACTCCTTAAATCTTTTTAATTAAAACATACAAATGTTTATTCATTCCACCTATTTCATTATTTAGCATGACCACACAAGGTCTTTTGAGTACTGAACTGCAGGCTGGACTTACACACTATCATTGCTATATATGTCAATTGCTATGTACGTCACTGCTATATATATCATTGCTATATACAGCAAAAGCATGTACTTTTCAATTTCCAGTTTTGATTTCTTTTAAAAAATTAAAGAGAATGTAAACTACTTATAAGGAATCAGAGAATAGAAGACTGCATTTTTCTCTACAACCTTCCTCACATTTTCGTAATCTCTCTCTTCCTCAACTTCTACATCTAATTTTAATAGCAATTTTTCAAATGATTCAGTTCGGAGTATTTCTGAAATATCCAACTTAGTTTTCTTAAAAAACAATAATTCCGGGGGGCCGGGGATTTAGCTCAGTGGTTCCACCTCTTGCCTCGCAAGTCCAAGGACCCAAGTTTGATCCCCAGTGCCAAAAAACCCCAAAAAACAAAAGACAATAATTTCAGGCAGGGGATTTAGCTCAGTGGGTCCACCGCTTGAGACAAGCACAAGGTCCTGAGTTCAAATCCCAGTACCAAAAAACCCAATAATTTCTTGGAGAATTTACAAAAATGACTCTATCGATAGGAACACAAATGTATCAGTGGGAGGAAGAGTAAAAGGTGTAGCAGAAAGGCAGCTTGTCTCAAACATCAGCGTGCTGTGGGCACCTGACAGCAGTTTCCAGAGGAAAGGCAACCTCGGTCTCAGTGAGCCAAGCCTGCTAAGGGATTAGCAAGGAGACCCTTTCCTATAAAGCACCGTGCATATGACATCCTTAGGTAGATCGATACATGACAGCATAAGATGAACACCAGTCCAAAGAAGGGAAAATGAAAAACCAAAATCTAAATACATGCATCAGAAATGACTCCAAGTAGTTCAGACCTGGTGCTTGCTTTGGAGGCGAAGCCCTGCCTGCAGCAGCCGAAGCCTGGCACGTGGCTGCAGTGTCAGCCGGCTGCTCTCCCATGCCTGGTCCTGCACTCTGAAGAGACGACAGTTTCAGGACCGCATGGGACAGATGTGGACTTTCCGTATTGTTCTTTTTTCTAGAAAGAGGGTTTTTTTATTAGAGAACAGATTAGTGGCAAAATGTTGTTTACCTCAGATAAGTTTATAAAATATCTACTAACCAGTTATATATTTCATCACTCTAAAAGCAAAAAAAAGGGACACTGTGAGAAGAAACATTTCTGGGTCCAGTCAGAAAATGAAACTGATGATGTCCTAAGGACACTCCCCCCCCGCCCCCGAACTCCTGCTGCTCCCGGGTCCTGCAGCTCACAGGGGTGAGGAGGGTGGGGAGGAGTGGCAGGGAGAAGCCTGCAGTGCCAAACGCATGCCCTGACAGACAGATGCCAAGGCCAGGCCCCAAGTCAGCCTGGATGCGGAAAGTGCAAACAGCCCTCCCGTGGCGCCCAAGTCCCGACCCTTGTGCTTGTGGCCAACTCTGCAGCCCTAAGGACAATTTATTTCCTGGTTTCTCTACCTCTTTACTGGGGCTGTAGTATGTGAAAAGCCACAGACTAAAGCTAAAGGTGCACTCGTGGCTAAGTAAGGAACGTTTTATTTACTCTAGGAAAAGATGGCAGGGGTGAGTGGGCTGACTCTAAATGGACACAAAGTCATGTTTGGCAGAAGACAGAAAGAGAAGAGAACAGGAGGCAAGATGGTGACATGGGATAAAAAATAAATCAGGACACTCAGCTTGATTTCTAAATTTTACAGTCCTTCCCTGAGAAAAGCATACAGCATGACCGCGGAACATTAACGAACTTAGGACAACAGAGGCAGAGGAGATAGTGCAAGACAGGTCACTACCTTCACCATCACCACTAAGACAAATTGACTCTCTCAGAACCACAGTATGGCTTCCTGCTGGCCCACGAACACTTGAAATATGTCATGAGCTTCAAGTCAAGTGGCAAGAGCGACTTCTATGAGTCAGACAGTCTATAAAAAAACAGCAAACCACCTACAGATCAGCAGCCCCACTCACACTAACCCCAGGTTCAAGACCTGAAAAGCTGACAGGATATGCAGAAAAAAGGAAAGCCATGACCCACAGTAAGAATGGAAGGGCCCAGAAGCACAGGAGAAAATGAACCTGCCAGGAGGAGCTGCATAAATGTTTCACAACCACATGTGGAGAGGAGGAGACTAAGCAAAGGCTTTGGGAAGAGGGCCTGAGCCCACCAGGGCAGTGGGAGAAGGCTGTGCTGCACACCAGCACACGCCTGGGGGAGGAGCAATGCAGAAGCAAGCACTGCAAAGAATAAAGCATCCCACATAAGCTCAGGACTCCCAAGCTCTCTCTCAAGCCACATGGGCCACGAATGGCTCCCCACGATGTACTCCACGCCGGTGGGAATGAGACCTGCACGGCAGCTGGGGATGCCACACACCAACCTGGACCACAGCCCCAGAGCAAGGGCAAACAAGAGACAGCAAAGAAAGGGTGGGCAAACAAAACAAATAACCTAAGGCAAGAAAGAACTTATACACGTGTGAAAAATTCCAATCTGATGCCTCAGAAATATTCAAGTAGCTATTGCATCTACAAAGAGAGGGGCTATTAAAAAATAAAAGACCAAAAAGTAAAAGTCAGCTGTCATGACTAAAATTATGATTGCCAAGTAATTCAATAAAGGTTAAAAATAAATTAGAAATTTGTCAAGAACACTGTCATTTTGCACTAAAACAAAAACTAGAAAAACACAATTAAAATAGGTCAGCCCAGGCAATCCAAAATTCTCTTCCAGAAAGTGAGAAAACTGGAAGAAAATTCCCAAAGTAACAATAATTATCTAGAACTAAAATACACACATCTCGGGCCGGGGATTTAGCTCAGTGGCTCCACCATCTGCCTCGAAAGCACAAGGTCGCGAGTTCAATCCCTGGTACCAAAAAAAAAAAAACCACACACACACGTCTCCAGATTGATGCCAATTAGAATTAGGTGAATAAAGGAGACACCCCACCCACAAGGACCTGGGATTCTAAGTTTCCAGAGGAAAGTAATTAGCTCAGATACAAATGATCAAGTACCAAATAGAATCAGGCTTCTCACAACGTAGCAATGCATTCAAACTTTTGTGAAAATTATTTTTATTCTTAAATTCAATACCAAGCTAAAGCATTAATGAACTCCAGGTCTGGGATAAAGACACTGTGAAACACAGACTCTGTTCAATGGAGCCGTGTGCTTTCTGGCTGTGTGGGGAATGCTTGCAATCACAGTGCTCCCACTGCAGGACAACATCTGCTGAGGACAATGCAAAGAATACTAGCTCTTTTATTAATTTGGGCAGACATCTGGGTTTGGGGAAGAACCTGTTCCCTTTTCACACATTCCCCTTGTAAAAGTTTAACTTGTTCCCTATTTTTCAAAGTATCTTTTCATTACTGTTACATGAATGATGCACGGCCCCTTCCCCTATGCTTCCCGCTTGCTAATGAAAGGGGGCTCACCAGAGAGATTGTTAAGCCTGTCCACTAGAGGCCAGCCCCTCCAGGTCTCCCTTGTACCTTGAATATGGTTTCTGTTTCTCTTTATTCTCCATTATTTCCCCCTCACAGGTATCTGAGGATCTGATCAGCCCCCGCCAATAAAAGAAAGAAAAAAAGAAATATAAATACATACATACATAAGTAAACGAACATAAGTGTAATCCTATTTTGGTTTGGTTTTGGTTTTTTTTGGTACTGGGGATCGAACTTGGGACCTTGTGCTTGCAAGGCAGGCGCCGGAAACACTGAGCTAAATCCCCAGCTGTAATCCTATTTTGTGAAAAACATAAATACATATCTGCACAAGAATATGATAAATGAAAGTGTAACCCGTGGCTGTCTTTTAGTTAGTGGGGTCACAGGACTTTACTGTCTTCCTAATAATTTTGCTTTCTACTTTTTTCAATGAGCATATATTATTTTTAGAGTCAGGAAAAAAATGTTTTAAAGAGCTAAAAATGTGATTAGAATGTATGAAGAAAACAAAGATGGTTAGAATTCATCAGAGATACAATCGCCCTTGACACTCCACAAAGCACAGGGAGGCACAGACTTACTCCTCCCCCTGGAAGCTCAGCTGCAATCTCTCTCTCGGGTCAGCATCACTGCAGCAACTGGGAGACGACTCGGATGGAGCTGAGAACCTCCCCTCTACTAAGTAGGAGGTCTGGGTATCTGGATACCTACACAAAATTGTTGAAATTAAATTATGTACATTTAAAATTCACCAACCTCCAGGGGAAAAAAGACAAACGGGATCCCCAGTGTTCAAAACCATCAGCTTCTTTGGAAGCAGCCCAAGTGCCCATCAACTGGAGACTGGATAAAGAAGATGTGGTTTTTTTATAAAATGGAGTACTACTCAGCCATAAAGAATGAGAAACTATAGACATTTATAGCTAAATGAATGCATATTGAGGCCATACTCTTAAGTGAAATAAATAGGACACATATGTGTAAATACCGAATAGTTTCTGTAGTGTGAGAAACTGAGAGTGTAAATAAGGATTAAAATGATTAAAATGAATAATTGATAATTTGAAATAGGAAAAGGTCCAAAGACGTAGGGGTGGTGGGAGGGGAAGGGGAAAGGGAAGAAAGGAAAGGAAAAGTTATGAGAAAATTTAAAAAAAAAAGGAAACGAAATCTATGTAAATAGGGAAGGGTGGAGGGGGTGAAGGGCGCACAGGTAATGGGGAAAAAAATAAGAACAAAGATTCATCATGTACAGGTACAAGCACCCAATGATAAATGTAAATGTGTTGCATATCTAAAATGTACCAATGAAAGAATTAAAAAAAAAAAAATCAGCTTCTGTGCAAAGAACAGAAACTGTGGACAGCAATGGAATGATTATCTGCATCAACTCAGCCACAGACACTGTAAGGCTAAAAGAACTAGCAACCCCTTGGTCCCAAAGGCAAAGATGATAATCCTCACATGGTTAGGTTGACAGGAGATGGAGAAGGGGCAGGTATTTACCTGCCTGTATGGACATATGAACTGCACATGTCACACCTGAACTGATGTAAATAAGGTACATTTAACCAAACAACCGTCTCGTTATAAAGCTAGAGTAAGAATAGTAAGAAAAATAAGCACTGGCTTGGCTCCTAAGAAAGAGAAGCCTGACTTGGGAAACTCAGGGTTAACAGAGCGAGAGCTGGGTCAGTTCAGAAGGACAGGACAGGGCAGAGCTGGAGGAGGCCGAGCCAAGCTAGCCCAGTGAAGCACAAAGCCCTGGCACAGCTCCAAACATACCAGTGGCCCCACGCCACAGCCACAGGGACTGGCTTCAGGATATCCAGGAAGTCAACCTTAAGGGACATTCATTAGCTTCCTGTGTAGCTACAAATGGACTCAGTGTCTTTTCTGAGTCTGTGCTGCCATATTCTGCAACATGGAATAAGAAAGCAGGTACAACCAGTGAAGTGAAAGAGGAGAGAATGACAGAGATACACAAAGAAGCAGAGTGGGAGGCAGAAACCACATCCCAGAGGTCCCAGCCCCAACTCCTGTCCTGCAGACACAGGTCTGCTGGGCATGAGGTTTGGGGATCTTACCTGTTACCAGTACTGGCTCTATTCCTCGCGAGTGTGGAAACAGCAACAGGCAAGCCAAGCTTTGAAGAAAGAGTGACCTCTTCCAAAATCCCACTATTACCAAGGAATGAGTTGGTTAGAAAACTTGGAAATGACTCTTCTGCTATGCCTCGAAAATCTTCCATCTCACTGCAATAACAAAGATATTTTTATAAATCAAACATTACTATAAAAACTTTTCAAGTGGTTAAGTACAAGTCTCAATAATTTTAGGAAATTTAATAATCTTAGGAAACTTTTTTTGGGCAACATTTCTAAGAGAGAACATTACATGCAAATACTGAGGTAAGGAAAGTCTCAGAATAACTCACTGCTTTACGGTGAGAAACAACACCCAACAATAAATTTATCATCTTGTCACTGGGACTGACAGTCAACCCAGAGTAAGACTATTCTAATAGATTTCTTCTAGTACAGACTAATTTAATTATTCAATAAAGTAGAGAATTCACAGACCACTAAGGAGCTACAGAGATTGGTCACACAGGGTCCCTGCTCCTACTGGAAGCTCACCTCTCCACTCTTCGCCTGATCCAACCCCTCTCTCCATGACACCCACAATCACTCTAGCAAGGGGCTCTCTTCAGCACACCAGAGCCCTCCCTCTGCCTCTTCCCACGATGGGAGTGCTGTCGGCTAAGTCCTCCTGAATTCAGCCCCGTCAGGCTTCCGTCCACTGCCCACCAAGACAGTGCGCGTCAAAGTCACACTCACCTCCCCGCTGCCAGAACCTAGAAAGCTACCTCAACCTACACAGTGCACTCAGATGCACTTTCCTGCACTCTCTCTAGATCCAGCTGCCAGTTCTCCAGCAGCTGCTTTCCTTGTCCGCATCTCCTGGACCAACCCCCTCCCCCAGGGGAAAGCTCCAGGGCTGGGCCGCCATCTCTCTACCTTCCCTGCCCACCAGGGCTACTTTCAGTGTCAGAGGTTTAAATAACATATGAGATCTACATCTCTAGCCTGGGATTCTCCCCTGAACCTCAGATACTCAATTGCCTGCCAAGTCATCTTCATTTAGACACTAACAGGCACCTAAAACTATCTTTTTTTTTCCTTGAGAGAAGCTCTCAGACTGGCCTTCAACTCACCATGTAGCCCACCTGTTCTCTATTGACTATCCTCTCGGCTCAGCCTCCTGCATGCTGGGATTACAGGCAGGCACCGCCTCACATAGTGCATAAAACTCAAGCCTTGACTGTACCAGCTTCCACTACCTCAAGAAAGCCTGCTCTGCTGGAGATTTAGCCCAGTGGCACCAAGTCTGCCTTGCAAACCCAAAGTCCTGAGGCACTGAAGGGGGAAAAAAAAAAAAAAAGCCTGCCGTTCAGTCTTCTCCATCAGGGATTACAACACCAATCTCTACCTGCTTAAGCCAAATACCAGGGTCATCACTGATCTCCTCAGACTCTCACACCTCACCAAATCCCTTGCCACAACCCGAAACCCATTCTTTAATGAGCATCCAGAACCTGCCAGGCCTCACAGCTTCCACACCTCGAGTGATTCATCCTCCCTCACTCACACCCTCCCACACTGCTGGGTTTCCCAACGAATTCAGAGTGAAAGCCAGTCCTGATGCCCACGGGGGCTGTGGTCTTCTCCCTTCACTCTGCCCACCCATCCCAACCCCCTGCTGTCCCTGGAAGTGTCAGGCAGGCTGAGGCTCAGCTTCGCAGTCTTGGCCTTCTCTTCTTCACATCATTGTGCATGTGGTCACCAGCGCTGTGCCTCTTACTTCTACAGTGCAAACTACCTCTCAGCAGCTGCGTATTCGCCTCTTCACGTTTTTCCCAAATTTAAGCTCTGCCTACTGTAACTTACCACTGCACTCCTTAAGCAGTACAAGCGAGAAGGAGCCCTCAACACGTTTGCTGGGTGAGTAAATGTTACGTTTTCTAACTACGTCAATATGCAGCAAATCATCACCAGTTTTAAATTAATAAGCATCTCCTCTTCCAATGCAGACACACCTAGATTTTCCTCTCTTCCATATTTCTAACTATCATTCTTTCTGGATTTCTGCAAACATGCTCAAAACTTTCCCACATCAGGATGCAGAAGCCAGAAAACAACCTGGGCTACTGGTCATCTGCATCTCCTGTCTCCGTCTTCTCTTCGTCCTGCACAGCCAAGTGTCCAGGAGAACGAGAACACTCCAGTTGCTACTTCTCCATCTTGCCTGTCTGCTCCTCCCACATCAGTAGGGCTACTGAGGATTCTGACCTCAGTTCTAGGTCATGCAGCTTATGTCAGGCACCCTAGAGATCTCAAATTCAAATGCCTTCAGGCTCAAATACTATTGGAAAACAGGGCAGTGAGGTCAGCTGGAAATATAGACCTCACATGAAGACAATTAAGCGCAATCAAAACACTGCTGCCAAACAAAGCACATCTACTGGAGTAGTGGAGTACTGAGGCAAAACACACCCTGAAACAGTCTACAGGTCTCCACCACTACACCTTCCCCAACTGAGAGCCTGTCTCTGTGCTTCTGCTCCTGCCACCCAGCAGCCAAGCAGACCATGGCCTAGGAATCAGGTATAGTGGCCCTATGAGACCCGGGAGGCCCTGTCACCTCTCCCACTTCATCTCTCAGCCCCTCAAGCGCTCAGGTCCAACCACCATCTATCACAGCATTCTAATTTCCTCCAGCGCTTACCACTGTTCATTTTGTACCTGTCTGTCTTCTTCCACCAAAACAACTACCCTCTAAGAGCAAGGGCCTAAATCAGGCTTGGCGGTGCACGCCTGCAACCCCAGCACTTGGGAGGCTGAGGCAAAAGGATAACCCCAAGTTCAAGGCCAGCCTGAACTACATCATAACACCTTGTCTGAAAACAAACGAACAAACGTCGAGGGCCTTTTCTCTGTCCATCACTGGTTCCCAATACCTACAACAATGTTTAGCACATAGTAGGTACTCAAGTATTTGTGAAATAAAAGAGGGAATGACAACCTTCTCACTGAGTGGCCTCGCTGACTTTACCTTTTTTCAGGGGTACCTATATTCAGAGGGTCAGTTTGCTAGGGAAATGTCTACCTTGTTCACCCACAGATTTTCAGTAGCTGTTAGGGACCTGGGAGTATGTGTTGAACGAAGTAATCTAGCCAGGGATTTAGCTCAGTGGCACCACACCTGCCTCACAAACGCAAGGTCCTAAGTTTCATCCTGGGTACCAAAAAAAAAAAACAGAAGAAGTAATTTTTGTAATCCTTGCATCAAATCTGTAAAGTAGCCATTACCCCTACTATTCAGGAAGCCAGGCCAAGAAAGGGAATCAAGAGACTTTGAGGCCACAGAGAGCAAGGGAAAGAGGGGGTTCCTATCAGGCAAGTCTGGCCCCAGAATATGCTTTCCTGTGCATCAATGCCACCTCCTTCACCTTTAAATCACTTTCAGCCCAGACTTCAGCCTGAGTTCTAAACCTTTATTTCTAAGTGGCTCTTTGACAACTACCTTACCCACGAATGCCTCTCAGGTCACAAAGCCAAATTTGTCACCTTTCCTTCACCTGCTCTTCCTGTTACCTTTAGTCTTGGACCACAACATCCCTAGTTCACTGGCTTTATATGCTGGACGCTGAGGACCATTCTCATCTCCCCCACTCTCTCAATTAGCAATTTCTAACGCACCTAACTTCAACTTTATCTCTGGAACTGAGACCCACTGTATTCCCAATGCCTGCAGCCCAGCACTTTTTGTTCTATATATATTTTTTGGGGGTGGGCCAGAAATCGAACTCAGGACCTTGTGCTTGCCAGGCAGGCACTGTGCAACTAAGCTACATTCCTAGCCCTGCCCAGCACTTTTTAATCAAAACTACTGAAAAAAGCCACTACTGAACAAGTCTCCCAACTAGCCTGCCCAAGTCTAGCCTTGTAATTAAAAATTCTTCCTTTTATAGACATATAAACCACATTAAAATATACACTGAATTCAATAGTTATTCCTATTCAGAAAGGCTCAAATCCAAAGAAAATTTAGATGTCATTCAAAGATCATTCATGCAACATAATCATTATCAATTAAAATTAAATAAGGTAGTCCCCTCAGGGAGCTGAAAATCCCTATCACAGAATGCACTTATAGTTACTGCTATGGGTGCAACGGCCACACAATCCACTAGGTTTCTCAATATGCAATCTAGTACCTCATTCCACTTGTTTTCAGAAAGGATCACCCTGTTTTAAACCATCATGGACAAACCACATCCCTAGATCTTTCCTAAAAGGGAAAATTCCTTAACATCCCTCTGTATCAGATTATCTACCCTTCTCACGCCATTTAAAGTGAAGACAAATAAGTCTTTTCTTACAAAATACTTGAATCAAATAGCCATGTTTCGAATTCTCTTGCTATGTCCTTAATGATGTCAAATTTCACATAGTTTTACTAATATTTACTCTAACACTTCTGGGTATATAAATATCTTCTGTCGTTGTTAAGCGTAAGTCTACGTATACAATTAGATATTTAAAAGTACATACTGTGGAACCCAAAACCTACTCAGTCCTCCCAATACTCATCATTTACTCCTGGCACTTTAATAAATACTGCAGAACCAAGCAGGCATTTAGGTAGGCTTACCTAAAGTTTTTTTAAACTTACCTTAGGTTTGCCCTAAGAACTGAAACTTGGAAAAAAGGTTGATTCTGAAGCAATGAAAACGCCAGAAGAAAGACCTCAGAAGAGTGGCCGTAAATGGGAATACTGTCACATCCACAGCTGTTCTCCAAACCAGCGCGTGGAAAAGGAACTCATGCAGAGCAAAAGAGTGACTAAATCTTCGTGTCTGGTTCTGCGTTCTGTTCATTAGGAAACCGTAGGCAGGACGGCTAGGAAGGGGCTGAGAATAAAGGAGAAGGCAGCGAGGAGACACAGCGGAAAGGAGGCACTGACGGACCCCGCAGCGCCAAGCTAACCCGTCTCTCCCGGGCCGCGTAGACAGAAAAGCGACTCTCCAGAGGACAGACAGTGCGCAGCCACCGCCACCGGCCCGGACTCCGGAGCCGAGCGGCGACGCGACTCCAAGCCCGGGCGAGCCGGGCGCCTAGACGCCTCACCCTCCCAGGCGCACCAAGACCGCCGCTCACCACGGCCGCCGCAGCCGCGAAACACGGAGAAACACGCTGAGGGCAGGGCCTTCCCGGCGGCACCCGAGTGCGCCTGCGCGAACCGCCCCCACCACGGCATTTCCGGCAGGCTGTACCGCACGCGCCTCGGGTTTACGTCCGTTCGCGGCAGGGGTTGAGGGCAGGGCTGTGGAGCGGGGCCTCAGTGTGGGCCTCCGATTGGGCAGCGCGAAGGGCGGTGCGAGCGGGGGCCGCCGATTGGCGGTGACAGCTCGAGCTGAGTTTGAAGTCAGGGCGCGCGCAGGCCTCCCGCTCGCCTGACACTTCGACCAGGTTCGCTCGGGCGCGCTTTCCGCCGGCCGCCGGCCGCCGACCGCCCCCAGGGACGCTGTCGCCGGGAGCAGTGGGACCTTACCGGTCGCCTTCCAGCACCAGCTGTTCCTCGGGAAGCCGGGCGCTAGCGCTCGTCACACCCAGCGGCGTGCCCCTGCGAGGCCCGTCCATCCCTGCCCATCGGAGGCCGGAAAACCAGCTCACCTCCAAATTCCCCCTGAAGATACTCACGCGGAGGGCCATAAATTGGAAGTGAACGGCTAAAATGTGTGTACCTGTGAAGCTGCCGATCACCCGGAAGCTCTGGAAGGAGCTCAGTGTGTCTGTAGGGAGACGACTACTCCTGAGACAGACCACCGTGGGGGCGAAGGGAAGTGAGCTCCGGAGCCCGTACCGTTACTCATTACAGGCTTGATTTGTGTTTTCTTCTGAGGCAGCCAGGGACTAACACTTTGCTAAAAATAGTGACTTCATTTGGGCCTACAGATGCCCAATACATAACTAAAACCAGAACAAAGTTTGACCTTCACTTTATATGTTTCCTTTATTACCTTAAAACTTGATCACAGCCCTGCTCAAGATACAGGCATGTTAAATCACTTAGGGAGGATGTCTAAAAACGCAACGGGAGGTTGATCAACCCTTAATTTACAAGACTTATGTTCATCCCCCTTCAAGACTGACACTAAGAGATTTACAGGAACATTAAATTACCAGTGAGCACCACCCACATGTCTCTAGTCATTGCCCTAAACCTAAGTAAGTTCACCTTGGGTTCCAGCAGGAGCCTCCCAAAAACTAAGGCTGCCGCATGCAGAAACGGTCATCTCAAGGAGATGGAATCGCCCATCAAGAATTAAGACTTCGGAGTCATCCAGCAAAACCAGAACTGAAGTAATGGTGAACCAGACCTTAGCCTATCCCAACTTAAAAGCAGTTCCTTCCATTTGTTGCCAGGGTAGTGTCATCTCACCAGAGCTGTGTCCCCTTCTCTTCCTTAGGCTGCAGTCCTCTCCCTATTTTCCCTAACTCTGCTCAGTAAATCAGCCTGTGCCTCCGACACATCCTGAAATGTCTTTGTTCTGTCACCTTCTTTGTTGCTGGGACAAAAACACTCAACACCCACAACTTAAAGGAGGTTTAATTTGGCTTAGTTGAGGTTTCAGAGGACTATGGAGTCTGATGGCTTGAAGGCAGGACAGCATGGCACAGGGGCATAGTGGAGAAAAACTGCTCATCTATCTCACAGCACCCAGGAAGCAGTCAAGGGAAGAGCCAGAAAGGGAGACACACCCTTCTGGGTCAGGCCCACACGGAGCCCCCTCTTCCAACTACCTAGACTCCACCTCCTAACAAGTCACTTATAGCCCCAAAATCCAATCCATTTACAAAAGCCCCACCTGTGATAGCGGCTTCAGTGGGGGAGCATCTAGACACAAAGGTCACAGTACCTGCCTGGGCCACACTGAGGTCCCCATCTCCTCCTGGGCAGGACCTCCTGGGATCACATCCTGTAACTCTGAGCTCTAGCCAAGGTAACATCATTTGGCAGGGGGCCACCACTCAAACAGCTGTCCTGAGGGGGCCTCACCGGGTGCACAGGCTGTGCCAGACTGCAGCAGAAGACCACGCATCACTCTGCTGAGAACAGCAGAGTTCTCGACAAGGATGGGAACGGAGTATGTACAAGGGTTCTGGTTCTTGTCTTTCCTGCATAACTGAGAGCCCTACATAAGCAGAAGCTTGGAAGGGGGTGGGTGACAACTCTGGTAGTGCAGCCTCCCATTTGGCTGCCTGCCTCTGTAAGTGGCTTCTAATAAAATCATTTGCTCGCCAACCTGGACTTGTCCACACTGTTCTTTAGTCCCAATAGAGGAAGGTGTTTCTTTTATGCCTCCCTAGGAAATTCACAGAACAGTGTCCTTGCTCCATAAATTTCCTCTCAAGACACCAGGGCTCTTCCCCACGACACTTGGCAACCTGGCGGGTTCTCCACTGAGACTTAAACCCAGATGTAAACCCAGCAGCAGCAGGCAGTGAGCCTGCTCTGGGGCCCAAGCTGCCAAGTCTGGGTCCTGGCTCCCCCTTCCTCTTGCTAACTGCAGCCTTGGCAACAGCACTAAACCACCAGCTTCCTCATTGGTGAAACAGGGACAATTAGCATCTGTCTCTGTGGTTTGTTGTGAGGATCTTAGCAGTTAACTCACCTAAGGTATCTAAAGGCACTGGCTCATTACTCAGATATTCGCTATTATCTTACACCACAGTATCTATCCTTCCTTGCCAACAGGAAAGACCTGCCATTGTAATTTCCAAATCTCTGCCCCATAGCTGGGGTGCTTCCAGGGAATTAGAAGTGATGCCTACCCATCTCAGAATCAACCATCCCCCATAGCCTCGCCTGACCAAGTGCTCTATGTAGTACACCTCAGCCACCAGCATCCAGAGCTTTCCACTATGTGGTCACAAGGCATGACTCCACATCAGCATCCCACTGGTTCCCTACATTTACCCTACTCTTTCACCAGACGCTCATCCTATTCCTGGAATACAACCTTATCCTCCCTTACCTTCTACCTCCATTACTCAAACTGCTGAAATCCCACATCCCTTCCAAATCCTGCCAGCTCAGGTCAATCAACAGCTTTTATGCTTACTACAGCTTCTGCTTTTCCTACAAAGTGGAACTCCTGTTACCTTTTTGAATCTTGGAAATGCCTTCTCCCACTACAATCAATGTGTATGCTGACTGCCTGACTTACCATCAGTTACACAGCAGCGTCCAGAGAAGCATCTTGCAGAGAGTGGATGCCTGGAATTCACTAAATTAAACTGCGGAGTGGTGCCACTTACCTCATTCTGGCTCCAGTAAGTGAAACTCAAAGACATGAACTGCCAATTCTGAGCTACAGTAATCCTTAAGTTAGTACTAACAAACATCTCCAAGTCCTTTAACAAAAGGAAGGCCCCTGAGGTTTGGAAAGGAATCATTTTACATTGGAATGCTAACTTTATAGACAAAACAGTTTAATGATTAAACACAACAAAATTCAAGTATTCCATAAAGTAAAATTAATATGATATGGCTTATCAGCTTTCTATACTTTGTGTGTTGAGCAGCTCTGGGCATAAGGCAGTATTTAAGGAAAGATATCTATGAAAATTAGAATATACGTGGTAAGGACAATTATGTCACCTCTGTGATTAACTGGACACAAATACAACACTGTTCCACCCCTGGTAGCTAAATCCTTGACATTGCTAACAGAATGAAATATAGTACTACCCCCACAGTTTTAACAGTTTTACCACAGTATCAAGTATATTCTAACTTTAAACTATTTTAGAAGATAATTATTCTACTGTTGGACTAAGATTCAAAGTCAGTCTGTCAGTTCTACATGTTGGTTCACATTTAACTATCTTTTAAACAGAATGCATCGAGCATGCTGGCACACGCCTGTAATCCCTAATTACTCGTGAGACTAAGGATTGAAAATTTGAGACCCAAGTGGCAAGTCTCAAGACGCTGTCTCAAAATGAAAAGGCAGGAGGTGCCCTCAGGAGTACGGCACCCCAAGACCAGTCCTCAGTACCACACAGCCACACACAGGCAGACACACATCAAAAGGAACTGCTTTCTCCAGATTTGTCTGGGCCTTGTTTTTGTGACATGATAAAAGCAGCCTTACCAATTATCTTAAAATAATTCTACTTTTACAAAGCAACAGATTTGTAACTTTTAAAATTTATTTTTTTATTAACCTACTTGGACAGTAATTACAAAATTTTAAAGTCATTCCAAGTAGTAATGAAAGGCAATTTCCTTAAAAAAAAAAAAAAAGAAAAAGAAAAAAGACAAAAATATCCATATTGTGTTTTGCTGCTTTATACACAGGATTGATCTTACATACCAGTCACTTGCGACAATTACCTGTAAAAATCAGAAACATTTGTGTGTCTGGAAAGCAGGGCGAACTCCATGATATGGTTTCACATTACCCAGTATGACAAAGCAGAAGAAACTTGAGACTGTGTTAACAGTGCAAAATACATTTACACAACAGGCACTTTCAAGTCAGCTACTCCGCAACTCTTACATCAAATGTTACTTGTATGCATCTCGTTTCATCAAAGGTTATCAACTGGGAAGCCAATGTTCCTTTGATGCAGACGCAAAAACAAGTTTACGATCCAAACACTGTTCCGTTGTAATACATGCAAGACAGACCCTAAATAAAAAGAAGTCTTCTGAAAGAAAATGAAGAAAAACAAAAAGCAGCCAGGAATGAAGCATTTACAAGCACTGCATAAGGCCTTTAGGTGTCAGATCAGTGTTTTAAACCCCTTCATTCTCAGGTAAGGGATTAAGAGGCCGAGAGAGGCATCGTCTGCGAGGGTGAGGATACTGGAGGCTGGCAGTGTCAGCATCGCAAGAGTGCTCTAGCAGAGGAGGAGGAGGAGGAAGGAGCTGGGCATAACTGGACCATCTCGATCCAGCCCGTGGGGAGTCCAGAGGGGGAAAGAAATACCTGAAACAATGAAGACAGGAACAAAACACCAAAACAAAACAAAACAACAGGAAAAAAAAAAGAAAAAAAAACAGAAGAAAAAGAGAAAAGTAGTAAATACAAAGAGAACCAAAGAGAAGAAAACACATGCTGGAAAAAAAAGCTTTAGTATATTCATGCCAAAACTAACGAACATAATAGCACAAATCAAGACCCTTGCTCAAATCAAGATTGCTTAGGCAAATATAGAAATTTGAAAGAAAGAAATACAATCTGTTAAACTCAAAATGTCAAAAAAAATTATCAGTACGAATATTACAAAGAAAAGACATCCACTTCCTAAATCTGAAACATTCTCCAATCTTTCAGACAGGTGAGGAGGCTGTGATCCCAGATCCACTCTGCTGCGCTGCCAGGCAGCGGGCATCTCTCAGCACATACCTCGCCGAGGACCATGCACACTCTGCACAGCACGGCTGGTGAGCAACCTACTGCTGAGAGAGTGCAACCGGGAACACACTCATTCCTCTGCAAGAACCTCAGAATGACTGCAGATTTGGATGAGAAAAAGGCTCAAAGAATTCGTACACACTATTATTCTGCCATTTTATAACTTACCCATAATAGCACACACGTTAGCAAATGTGAAGATTTATGGCTTTGTCGGAGTCAGAACTTTAGAGTATAGGAATTCATCTAAACAGCAAACTAAAGAAAATCCTGAGCCATGGAATGCTAAGTTAATTTGCATGCACACATTCAGTAAAATTTTAACTGTTTCTCTTATGTTTCCAAATTTGTTTTGCTGGAAAATTTAAGTTGTGGAATCACATCATAAATACATACATGCACATATTAGAAACATTTATCTCTTTAGTGAATATGAACTGAAAACTTATAAAGGTGTTTCCATTTTCCTTTACCAAATCGTAAATGAAACAATATCAAATGTTCCACTTGGCTACAAACTGTACAAACTACTTTCATATTAGTACTACTTTACTAATCCACTCTTTTAATAATATTTTTTAAATATTACAAAGAAGTGACAAAGCTGTATAGAATATCATATATAAAACAACTCTACAAAAGATAAACAAATTAGCACTCAAAACAATCTTTATGAAAAATATTTATTCGATATTCAAATTAAAATTATAAAAATTCATCATTTTGGCTTATTGTTTTAGAAAACAAAAGAAATATACTTCTATCCTCCAAATGGAATAAAATGATAGTTTAGCTCCTCCCAACTACTTATAAAGACAACAACGATCCTTTTAATTTTTAAACCCAAGTTAGTTTCAGCAACATTTCAAAAAATTGTTTTGGTGACTGTCTCTCCACAAAAAGCCTCTCTGTTTGTATTTAAAGTTTCAAATAGTGTCAATAAACTGACTAGTACAAAAAAAAGGTCTCCCCTGTATTTTTAAAGGCCTTTTGGACTGCGCTTTGGTAGTGAGCGGCTGCTGGTTATCTCGGGAGAGGTCAAAGGCGCTGGGGAAGGGGAGAGGAGCTCACTCTCCACTCCTGTGTGCATGCAACAAGCAGCAAACAGCAGAGTTATCCAGTTAGCTTGTGCTCAGCTGTGCTTTCTGTTAAAGGACATAACACAAACGGAGAAGGGAAAATGCATCACAGATCTAACACAGAGGTCATCGGCACAGCAAGAATACATACAGATCAAAACATCACAGCTATGTACAAAAGGAAATACGCAGTACAGGCAGCACCCTAAGCCACATTTAAAAAAACTAACCCTAGTATTCTTTGCTTCTTGAAATTATCTGTATAACCTGCCATCCTGTATGGCAACCTGAAACTGTTTTAACGGATCCAAATACTTAAAGCTTCAAAATCAAATAACAAGACATCTTTATAAATATATAACAGTATAAAAGCAGTTGAAGCTTCAAATACAATTTTTTTCCACTTAGGGTAACAATAAACACAGGACAATTATGATGTTTCTGAAGTTTCCTGAACTCTTCCAAATTATTCCAAAGGCAAGTTAATAATCTTATCTTACAAATTCACGTATTTCAAACCTGAATATGAAAACAAAAGGATGACTTTACATTACATGAGATGTTTTAAATATTCTTTATTATGAAAAACAATCTAACATATGCTAAATATTCCAAAAATCAAGATCTTAGATTTTATCATTTCCTCTTATAACCTCCATTAACATTTTAAACACAAAACCCAATTCATTTAATTCACTCTCTTCTATAAAGCACTAGTTAATATATTTTATTTAAAATTTGTTTGACCTGATGCAAAGGCCACATTACAAGCACTGACAACCTTAATGCTCATGTAGGACTAAACCCTCTTAAACCGTATTTCCTCTCCTTCTCACTGCTGCCGAAATATAGCAGAACTTAAACAAAAGCAAGGAATAATTCTACTGACAGACCACTACATTTCAGAATCTAAAGGCTTCACAACCTACCTGTAAAAATTATGAGAGCTTACAAGATGAAGTTTTAAAATCTAATGTCAAAATTACATATGAATTTTTTCACTCCATCTTAAAATTCAAGTAACATGCCTTTAGTGTGACTACCAGAATCATTTAAAAAGATCATTTCTAGTTTACCACAAACAGCCTACCTGCTAGCAGAAGATCCATTTAATGAGCTTTGAAGATTTGGAACGTTTGAACCTAGGGAAGGATTTGAGTTTCCCTGCTGAGAACTCCCATTGACTGGGCTCCCATTACCTTTCAGAATCCCAGTGCACTTCCAATTGTCCATGTAATTAGCTGAAAGGAAAATCAAATACGTTAACACAACTGACCTACACACAGCAGCACAAACCCCTATCGTCCTACCACTATGACAGAGGCTACAACTCCTTTCCAGGTGAACATGAAAGACACTTTTTTAAACCTGTCTAAAAGATCACTAATTTTAAAAAATTAGTTTTCGCCATCCACTTCCCTTCTTTACAAGATACATATTAGTATAGACAATACTCTAACATACCACCTATCACATCCTGAAGTTAAAATCAAAATGTTTGCCTTTACTCTGATAAATCTGTGTTAGAATAAAGTCCTCTTGCTTACAAAAGCCTGAGTTATGTGAGTGCCTTTCTCTGGACACAGATGAAGGTAATAAAACCTTTCCAGTGGGGGTTAAAAGGCTTATCCATAAGCCCTCAAAGTATGGCTTCATTCTTTGAAGGTAAAATTGGTACTGGAAGGCAAACCCAAGTTAGGGAGCCTGCTGGGGTGCGGTTGGGTGGTCCTGACTAAGCCTCAGAGGCAGAGAGCACAGCAAAACCCTTAAAACAAAACTGCACTGGGGCCGGGGATTTAGCTCAGTAGTTCCGCCGCCTGCCTCAAAAGTGCAAGCTCCCAAGTTCGATTCCCGGTACCAAAAAAAAAAAAAAAAATACATTAAGGAAAGGAAGGCCTGGTACTTCTACCGCAGCCTACACCTGAACATGGCAGGCATGCAGGACTTCCCCAACTACACTTGGGGAAACAAAGACTGCTCAGGGCAAACAAGCTAACATGGCTGTAATTTTGCAAGCTGTGTGTGGAACCCAACCACTCTGGTGGTATAAAACAAGCACAGACGTCTAAGCCTGATGGACAAACCCCCATGGGAAAGTGGGACTCATGCCACCAACTGGACCCAGTGCCGGGTCAGTGCAGGGCCGTGAAGAAACTGAGCGCCTGAGAGTTCTTGAACTTTGGAGTTACAGACAGGATGTGAGGAAGGTACTGAAGGACTGGTCATGGAAAGTAATCATCTAATAAAATCACATGACTGTAGTCCTGTTCTGTGTACAGAGCAGTCACACAAGTACACATACAGTAAATGGTATCATCTCATCAGAGGCACTGCATGTTCTGCTACAGCTGCCTTACTTTTGTTTCTAGGGGCTGTTTTGGTTTTGGTGATAACTGGATATTGAACCCAAGAGCATTCAACTCCTCAGCTTTTTCTTTTTCATTTGGAGACAAGGTCTCCCTATGGTGCCTGGTCTGGCCGAACTTTAATCCTCCTTCCTCAGCCTCCTGAACACCTGGGATTACAGGCATGCACCACCGAACACAGCCATACAGTTACTACAATTACACAAGTTTTGCAAGTTGCTTCATTCCACAGAGAAACTTAAACAACAATTCAACTAGTTATTAACTGTTATGATCTAGGTAAACTAATGGTCAAAACAAATACAAGACACTGATTTTAAAGTAACTATAAAAATAATTTTCTCAAAATACTTTAGAGCTTATATTTTTAGATGAAAATTTTCAAGGAGAAATGGAAAGCACCCTACCTTTCCACAACCTGACACAGCCGTCATCTCCTGAAGATGCCAGCACAGTTCCTGTAATGTTCCAACTCACTCGCCAGACCTGGGAGTTGTGGTTATCAAACTGAGCCACGATATGGATTTCAAATTTTGTTGGCCCACCTGAGGAAGTGAGTTCTTTCCTATAAATTAAAAAATAAATATATTCTGAGGAATCCCAAGGAATAAGCAATACCTATGGAGAAAGTTGTGTCACTCCAGGTGCAGTGGCTGTCTAGCATAAATGAGGTCCTTGGTTCCATCCCCAGCACCAAGGGGGAAAAAAGAGAGGGGGAAAGAAATGTAAATGGTCTCGGGTGCCCTCACATCATTTTATAACAGTGTCATTCGCATCTTTCACTTGATCCCTAGGCCCTCAGTGATCCCAGCCCATGAATGATACTTAACTAGTTGACTATCAAAAGGAAGTTATTTGCCATTCAAGATTTAGAAATCAGGGGCTGGGGATTTAGCTCAGTGGTTCCGCCGCCTGCCTTGCAAGCATAAGGACCTGAGTTTGATCCCCGGTACAAAAACAAAAAACAAAAAACAAAACAAAAAAAAGATTTAAAAATCAGAGAAAATTAATTTCAAAAGGAACAGCATCAGGAAGAATAGAAAGAAAAAGAATTGAAACTCGTAATGCAAAATTACAAGAATGTCTCAATGATAGTTTATTTTTCCTTAAGCAAACATTTTATAAGATACCAGTTTTTTTTTTTGGTACCGAGGATCAAACTTGGGTCCTTGCACTTGCAAGGCAGGTGGCAGAACCACTGAGCTAAATCCCCGGGCAGTACCAGTTATTTTTAAAGAATCCAGATCATCGTTTCTAGAAGCCTCAATAAGCAATTAAGAGACTACATCAGCTGGGTATGGTAGTCCATGCCTGTAATCCTAGCACTCAGGAGGCTGAGGCAGGAGGACTGAAAGCCAAGCAGCCCGGGCAACTCAGCAAGTTTCTGTCTCAAAAATAATAAAGAGTTAAGGATGTAGGTCAGCAGTGCAGAAGCCCTGGGCTCAAACTCCAGTACCTCCCCGAACAAAAAGAGAGACAGACCACATGTATCACCTTTTCACTCAACTCCCCACCCCAAATATCATGGTTATACATAAAATGTCCCCCAAGGAATCCATTCTTCAGATCAGTTACTGCGATTCTCTCTTCCACAGATAATAGGAGGCAAGAGTATTTCAAACTCGTCACCTCTAAAACTCACCTCACAGGTTTTAACGTGAAAATTCTTACATCTTTGGTTGCAACTGCCAGCGTGTGGAAAGACCGTCCCAAGTTTGGAGCAAAGGCAATGTCATGCACTGGGTCGGTGACAGTCAGCAGAGTCTCAGCTTTTGCATATTTCCTAATGAAAAAAGTAACATTTTCAGAGATACTGTTTGCAAAACTCTATCAATTCATACTGCTTGCTCACTATTAAGTAGTGCTTACCTCTGCAGGGCGCTGAATACTGGCCCCCAAAGGTGAGTCCAAGAACTACCCCCAAACCTGTGACTTAGGCCTTTGTAGATACAAAGCCCTGGATTGCGGGGGCCTGGACCCAAGTCCAGGGAGTGTGACTTATGAAAGACAAAAGAGGAGAAACGGCTTGGTGGGGACAGAGGCAGAGACTGGGACAACACGGCCACAACCAAGGAAGTCATGAGGCCAGAAGCAGCAAGGAGGCTTCCCAGGAAGCACAGCCCTCAGCACCTCGGTATGAGACTTCTGCCTCCAGAGCCGAGTGAGCCAACTTTCCCTGGGTCAAGCCACTCAGTTCGTATGAATCTGTTATAGCCACACCAGAAAACCCTAATATCACTTCCCAGGTTTCCTGCTCTGATAATGTAACCCTAAATCCTACTAATGGATCAGTAAACAGAAAGTAAGAGGAAATGAAGGAGATGGGACGCCTGAGTTTTCTACTAGGTTCTCTGGAATCTTTGAGTATGAGGGATGGGACGAGCAGCAGGACACACACGTGTCCCACGTGCCCACCCATCATTCCGCTGGGCTGACTTCCCAGCCTGGTATCCTTTCTGAATACCACACCGCACCAGGGCTCCTGAGGCCCCTCCCTGGCCTCTCCTGTGCCATCAACTGACCAGCTCCCCTAACCCTTGTCTCTGCTGTGTGGTCCCTGGCAGCCTGGGGCTTCTGAGACAGGCAGAACCCCTGCCCCTACCCCAAGCCCACAGAATCAAACTCTGAGTTTTAATAAGCCCCTCAGATGATACACCTGGACCTTAACCTTTCTAGTTTACTTTCACAAAAACTCCTACACTTATCACCTGCAGTCCAGTCCCCACTGCCAAGACCAGTCACAGGAAGGGGAAGAGCACACACCCTGCATGCAGGCAGGGTCTGGGATGAATCTGCCCCTGCCAGTTTCAGCAAGAAATAGAAGCAATGAGGCAGACTGCACAACCCCCCAGGACACCCCCAGGCATCATGCCCTTGTGAAGAACCAAAGGACACACAACATCCCCACGGGGCCCAACTTCCACCCCAGAGACTGTGAACTGAAGCCCACTGAGATTGGGACACTGCCAGGCAGCTACTCTACACACCTGCCCTTCACAGACCTTCCCACCCAGTGTCCCGAAGTCCTCAAGCTGAATGGTGCCAGTGAGCATCTCCCCTTCAGCTGCCAGGAGCCAGGACTCCTGGACACACGGCTGGCAACACAGCAGAGGTACTGCACGCTTGGACGGGTCCTCCTAGGCTGCCCAACACATGGCCCTCTGTCCACACACAGGCTGCGCTTTCCCTACTTCAGCCCCACTTCCTCACAGCCGCCAGAAGCGTCTTCCTCGGGTAAATGCAGGCAGCTGCACTACACCTTCAGAAGCCCAAATGCTGGCAGGAAGAGAGCAAGCCCAACGAGCAGCCCCACGCCTGTGCCTCTCTGTCTCTCCTCCCAGGCACCAGCACCATGCCCAGGGGGTCTTGCTCTTGCTTCCTCTCTGCCTGCAGTTCAGCTCACATGTGCTGCTCAAAAAGTCTGAGTTTTGGGGCCGGGGATGTAGCTCAGTGGCGCCGCACCTGCCTTGCAAGCACTAGGTCCTGAGTTCAATCCCCAGTACCGGAAAAAAAAAAGCCTGAATTTTTTTTTCCCTTACCTGAGACAAACTATGTACTTTAATAGGGGTTATTTAAAGCTTTTTGTATCTGAAGGAACTGAATGACAATAAACTAAGAAATGAATAAAAGACTGTTCCTGCTCCTGACTCGTACACTAGACTCAGACTCGTCACTTTGCTCTGTTGGTCTGTTTCTTCATTTACAAAACAGTGCTGATGTTGGGCCGGGGATTTAGCTCAGTGGTTTCACCGCCTGCTGTGCAAGCGCGAGGACCCGAGTTCAATCCCCAGTACCAAAAAAAACCAGTGCTGATGTAAAAGCCACAGCCCCTACTCATGATATCTAAATTCCTAACACATACGAAGGTACCCTGCTACCTACACAAGTGCATGGGACTTGCGTTATCTTGAAGGCTTCTGTCCAGCTCCAGTTCATCACCAGATCCTCTGGACACCACTTCTTATTTCAAATGATCCACTACTCTCCACCTCCGCCATTCTCTTCCAAAGCCATCATCACCGCCCACCTGGACTCCTCACCAGACTCTGCTCATGTCCAAGTGCACGTACCCCTCTGGTCTCCTCACTCCCACTCACAACACTGGACTCCAGGTCTCCTGGAGCCCACCTGTCCCTCAGCACACTCCCTCCCTCCGCCTCTGCTGTTGCAGCCAGCTGCCCCTGCTCCTGGGCTAACATCTATTTCACTGCAGGTCCTTCTCTCAGTGAACCATCCTGGTCCCCTAACCCTTCCTCGATTAGGTTCCCCCAGATAGAAACTTCACCACCCACATCAGTCAGTTCCTAAAATTCATCCCTCTGTTTTCGTATTATCTTTTGTTTCCCCTGAAAGATGGGTCATAGTGGGAGATCAACCTCCTTCTCCTCTTCAACCCCACATTATCAAAGTTGGCAAGTCAGAGGAAGTCAGTAATATACAACGAATGAGGTACAATTCAGCTAACAAAGGAATGATATTTTAAAATTAAATGCAATTCTGAGCTATAACGAACACTGAAGCAGTACTGACCTGGTGTTTTCATTGTATTCAAAAATCTGAACCTTGGCCACGGCGTTTGGGCTGCTGTCATCACTTCCTACAGCGATCATGGGCGCGTGAGCACGGGAGCTGGAAACAGGAACACACACTGTACACCAGGAGCCAAGACACTGAAGTCCAGGGCAGAAGCGGTGCGAGCCAGCCAGGCCCACCTGAGCCGGTCTCTGCCGCGCACCCACACAGTCACGCCTTCAAGCGCGTGCCCGAAGCGCGTGCCCGAGAATGTCGCCGTGAGGGCCGGGACGCCGCCCTTCTGGTTACTCGGACCACGTTTTCTACGGCTAGAAAGGAAACTTTCTTCCAAAACGTATTCAATAATTAAAGAAAAATACCTGAGACATTTTAGCAACTTTTCCTCCTGAGAGATCTGGTCATTATCTACGAAATAAAAGGATCCCTGCTGAAGCCAACTTCACGACAAAAAGGTTTTCAATGCTTTGTACAGAAAGAAATACAGGTGTAAGAAGAGCAGAGAAGACTGCGCCTCCGGGAGTCAGGCTCCCTTCATCCTCCTCTCAGGACTCACACACAGGCAACCTCATTTCACAAAGGGCAAAGGTAATCAGGAACTGGTTCTCCTAACGTGGACGGTGAATTAAATGGTTTTGTGTTTTTACATCAAATTACCTATTTATCAACTTCCTCTGCCTTCTGCATCCAGGTGAACAAGGCACCCTTCCTTAACCCTGGGCCTCGGCATTATGATCTGCTAACCTCTTAGAGCTAAAAACAAAAGGTGGTAATCGAAAAAGTAAGTTTTGGTTCTTTATTACTAAAGTTTTGGGAAACAAGTCATCTATAAAAGCATCCATCAGAAGGTAACACCAGCTTTTTCTTTGGAAACAACAAAGTTTTGATGAAAATGATTACATTCACATCTACAGTGAACACTTACATAATCCAATGTAAATCTGCTTGCCACTTAACTTTTAGAATCAACTAGCACTCAAAGACAAAATACTTATACACATATTAAACATTTATAGGATGTAAATGTTATTAAAATAAATCTTGCCAGCATACATGAAATACAACAAATACTAGGAAATGGAACGGTCAAGGTAAAGTAGAAGCAAAATAAGCTAACTTTTCCCCCCAGTACTGGGGATCAAACTCAGGACCTTGCGCTTGCGAGGCAGGCACAGCACCACTGAGCTCAATCACCAGCCCTTCTTATTTCTTTTTTATGAGAGGAACCATTATTTAAAAATTAGTAATAGATATAAATTTGAAAATTTTAAACTATCAACATTACCACAAATATCTACTAGTCATACCATAGGAAGTATAAAGTTTTATAAATGTGCTACAGTCATCTTTCATGTCAATGAGTATGAGTACTGTTCAAAGATAAACACAGCAAGAGCCAGTGGTATAAACAAATCATTAAGAAATATAATACTGGGCCGGGGATTTAGCTCAGTGGTTCCACCGCCTGCCTCGCAAGCGCAAGGTCCTGAGTTCGATCCCTGGTACCAAAAAAATATATATATATATATATATGTATGTATATTAATCAATCATACTGAGTACCAAAATTAAAATCTAAGAACAGAACTATTAACAGCATTTGTTTTAGGGCCGAAGGAATTTTGACTTTTATGTTCTTCTAGGTTGAAATTTTTTTCTTCATCAAGTGATTCTTATAATTTTTATGAAATAGTTAAATAAAAAGTAACTGGCAGGCCAGGGATTTGGTTCAATGGTGCTGCCGCCTGCCTCACAAGTACAAGGTCCTGAGTTCGATCCCCAATACCAAGAAAAAGTAACTGGCATATGTATATGGTCACAACCCACACAGCAACTCAAAAAACAATGACATAAAGGGGCTAGAAACATAAATGAGAAAATACCCATAAGGTATTTGTAAGTGAAAAAAGGAAAATGCATGAGTTTACACATGTCTGTTGTTCTGTGTCTACCTGTATGTATTACTATGTATCTGCCTGTATTTGAATAAATCTGTTTACGAATACATTAGTACATACATACAAAAAGAAGCTCACATCAAAATATTTATAACGGCTGGCATCCTCTCACAAAGACAAAATATCACAGAGTAAAATAAGGGAATTTATGTTAGATAATATATTTTATTTAAGAAAGCATTATTTAAGAAAGCATTTTTTACCAGGCATGGAGGCACACACCTGTAATCCCAGCACTCTGGAGGCTGAGGCAAGAAGATCACCACAAGTTCAAGGACAGCCTGGGCTACACAGTGAGTTCAAGACCAGCCTGAGGGCCAGGGGTTTAGCTCAGTGGCACCTCGCCTGCCTCGCAAGTGCAAGGTCCTGGGTTCGATCCCTGGTACCAAAAAAAAACAAAGAACAAAGAAGAGACCAGCCTGAACTACACAGTGAGACCCTGTCTGAAAAAGAGGGAGAGAGAGAAAAGAAGGCATTTTTTGAGAAAAAGTCTTACCTTAAAAATTACTAGCTTTTTTTACTAGGATTATAGCATCAGCATAGCATCAGAGGTTTGATACATAAGCTTACCTTGAAGGGTTCCAAGAAATGCAACTGCAGCTCAGTTTGCAAGAGATCTCATGCTGTAGGGACCACTGGCTGAGATTCATGACATCAGGTGCCTCATATATCCGGACTATTCCATCTGCTGAGCAGGTGGCCAACATGAGACCCATGTGCTTGGGAGCAAACTTCACATCAGTAACAGATGTTCTGCTATCCACCAGTGTGGTCCTCTTCACCTGAAAAAAAAGTTAATAACTTAAATTACATACAAAAAGAACAGTTGGTAGAGTCAAAGGACAACAGGTTCTAGAATTACAGTCCTTCACTAATTACTAGGCACATAATCTTGAGTAGGTTGTTTAAAACTCATCTAGGTCTCAACTTCCTACAAAGTACCTGAAAAATATCACATACAAAATACACTTGAAAAAAAAAACCCAAAATACACTTGACCTTAGCCAAAAGGCCAAGAAGTGATATCACATACATAATAATCACTAACAATTCAGCAAGCTGTAATTCTTGCCTTGAAGGCATAAAGTCTGCCTTAAGAAACTCCTGCATGTAAGAATGATCATAAAACCAGAACATATTAGCATTTTCACAGAAGTAGCTCTGTCACGCAAAGCATGCTGCAAGCAGTCAATGAAATGACTCAAGACCTTTAATGGTAAAAAGAAAACTTGCAACTCTTCTCAAGCACAAATGTCAGTTAACCACACTTGGCCTATCACTACCTGGCCCTGTGATAATTACATATTCCAACATCACATTTAAAGCCATTTTCTGAAACCTAGATTGAACAACATTTGACCGAGAATGTCAAAAAATTTTTAGAACTCAAACACTTTACTGCCTGTAATTAGCAAAATCCCTAAGGAGACGCAGTATTAAAAGAACAATACCACATAAGTTTCAAAGTGTCTCAGCCAACTTTTGTCTGCAGACATCACTGATGAACATGAATGTGCTAATGGCAGTTGATTTAACTAAATACAAATAAATATACTGAAACTGCCTAATTCTATGGATTTCCCTTCTCCTCCAGAAGCAGGTGTTTGCCACAAGGAACCCCTAGTGCAAAAGCAATCGGACCAATTCATCCCCACATAAGACAAGAAATGTAAAAGAACAGCGTTCAAGCTACAAAGCTACTCTGTTAACAGTGAGTCATGCAGGCCAAGGGAATGGAGTGGAGCCAGAAGGAACCCTCCAGTCGGCCAGCTCATCTGTGAGCGGCCAAGACAAGTGACAGGGAGGCCAGTGCTGGGAAAGCTGCACATCCACATAGTAACTCTGTACCATCCAACGAACCCTTATTTTACACCGTGGTATACACAAAAATTAACTCAGCCAGACAGTCCTGGTGCGCACCAGCAGTCCCAGCTACTCAGGAGGCATGGCAGATTAAGCCCACAAGGTGGAGAACAGCCTGGACAACACAGGGACGGGCTGGACCTGAACTCGCAGCGAGCCTCCTGCCTCGGCGTCCAGAGTGCTAGGATTACAGGCATGAGCTGCCATGCCCAGCAAGAATTACTGGATTAAAAAATAGAGCAAGGTGTCACGGTACACACTTATAATCCCAGCTACTTGCGAGGCTGAGGCAGAAGGATCACCATGAAAGGCCAACCTGGGAAACCAGAAAGACTTCATCTCCAAAGAAAACAGAAGAGGGCCGGGGAAGAAGCTCAGTGGTTCCGCCACCTGCCTTGCAAGCACAAGGTCCTGAGTTCAGTCCCCGGTACCAAAAAATAAAAAAAAAAAACAGAAGAAAGCCTAGGGACGTGGCTTAGTCGCAGTGTTTGCCAAGCGTGTGACATCTGGGGCTTACCGAGAAAAAGAAAAGAACAATGCACTTTCCCCACAGAAGCCACACACGTGGCCGGCAAGCACTGAAAGCACGGTCAACACCACTAGCAACTAGGGAGACCCCGTCAGGAACACAAGGCACCACCTCTACCCACAGGGCAGCCACCAACGTAAAATCCAAACACACTCAGTGTCCACTGAAACCCTGTACACTGCTGGTGGGTGGTAAGTGGAGCAGCCACTGTGGGAAACAGTTAAACACACACTGCCAGGCGCACCCATGCTCACAGTGGCACACCAGCTGCCACTGTAACAGCTAAAACTTGGAAAGAGCCCAGCCATCCATCAACTGGAAACTGGATAAATGTGGTTTTTTAGAAAATGGAGTATTACTCAGCTATGAAGAACGAGAAACTAGAGACATTTATAGCTAAGTGGATGCACAGTGAGGCCATACTCTTAAGTGAAATAAATAGGACAAATGTGTAAATACCAAATAGTTTCTCTGGTGTGAAAAACTAGAAGTATAAATAAGAATCAAAATGTGTAATTGATAATGTGAAATAGGAAGGGGAAGGGGAACGGGTAGGGGAAAGGAAAGAGGGGAATGGAATTAACATGAGAAAATGGAAACAAAGTCTTTGTAAATAGGAAAGGGTGGAGGGGTTGAAGGGAGGGCAGGGGAAGGGGGAAAAATAAGAACCAAGATACACCACCTAAAGGTACAAATGTCCAATGATGAATGTCATCATAAGGTATACCTAAAATGTACCAATAAAATTAATTTTAAAAAAACACACACACAACTGCCTACTATCATAATTCTACTCCTAGGCTCGTATCCAAAAGAACTGACAGCAGACACAGCCAGATGATGGCACACCAATACTGGAAGTGGAGCTTGAGTCTGACACCTAAGGCCGCTCAGCCATCCTGACCCGACAGCACACAAGGCTCACTGTCAAAAAGGGACCAGGCAGCAGGGAGGAGGGGCCTGTCTCACTGCGCATACCGTTTTGTGCACACAAGGCAAGTCTTCAATAAAAATGTTAGCTCAGTGGTTCTGCCGCCTGCCCCACAAGCACAAGGACCCGAGTTTGATTCCAAGTACCAAAAAAAAAAAAAAACTGTTAGGAGCTGGGCATGGTAGCACATACCTGTAATCTCAGCACTCCGAGAGGCTGAGGCAGGTGGATCAGAAGTTTAAGCCCATGCTGGGCAACCTGGAAACTTAGACTGTCTCAAAATAATAAAAAGTTGGACAGGGTTGGGCACCGGTAATCCCCAGTACTTGGAGGCTGAGGGATGAGGATTCCTTCCAAGTTCAAAGCCAGCCCAGGCAACTTGGTGAGATCACCTCAAAATAAAAATAGAAAGGGCTGGGGATGCAGCTCCATGGTACATCCCAGTATTGCCAAGAAACAAAGGCTGGGAAGTGCCTGAAAGATAACTCAGTCCAATTCTTTTGCTTTCAAGATAAGGAAGGAAACTGAGGGCACAGAGGCTACATTGCTGTGCAGAATCCATCATCCAGTCCAGGCAGAGCCAGAGCTTAAAGCAGAGACAGATGAGGGAGAGCGTGATTTCCCCAGAATGGAAAAGTGACCACAGAATAGGCTGGGGTAGCTGAGCAGCAGAGCATGTGGTCAACATGAGTAAGGCCCTGGGTTCAAACCCCAGGACCACCAAAATCACACACACACAAATCAGCAAAATAAGTGTTTGAAGATTTTAGAGGGAGCCTAAAGTGTTATCTAATTACCATACAAAATCATATAAAATATACCAAAATCAGATAGAAAGCATATATTCTAGATCTGTCACCAGTTTTTAACTAGACAGTGCTCTAAGTGCTCCTGAGCACCATTCAGGCCCAAGGCCAAATTCAGCAGGAGCAAAACAGGGAAGAAAGAGAAGCCAAACCACCGGAGATCCTCCCCAGAACTTGCACGGGGCTCACCCAGTGACTCTGTCCACGCAGCTTATCATTCGACTCTCCGACTATTTCTTCCCACACAGCGGCTGTTCGATCAAAAGAACAGGAAGCCAAAACCTGTCCAAATTCAGGATGGGCCCATGTCACACGCCACACAGATCCACTGTGCGTCTGGGGAATCAAAAACAAACAAAACTCAGTTTATTCACACGTCACACATTCAAGGTTCTACTTAAATAAAATACAGGTATTTTTTTACTTGTGTGAGGAGAAAGCTGATCAACTTAACATCTAAATAAAAAAGTAAAAGTTTTAAACTTTAGAAGATACTCAGTATTTAGGATGTGGCCCTTGTGGAGTTAAAGTCACTGTATGGAGACAAACCTAGCTGGAGACTTGCCTCATAGTCTCGCTTAACCAAGCTTACTAACATTCTACAGGTCCTCCACCTTTTTCCTTGCAAGCTCTTTCTATAAAAATACCAGTGGGGTGTGGTAGTGCATGCCCCAGGACTTGGGAAGCTGAGGCAGGAGGATCACTGTGAGTTCACGGCCAGCATGGACCTATAAGGAGTTCTAGGCCATCCTGAACTACACACTGAGACCTTGTCTCAAAAAAAAGAAACAGGGCCGGGGATTTAGCTCAGTGGTTTCGCTGCCTGCTGTGCAAATGCAAGGACCCAAGTTCGATCCCCGGTACCAAAAAAAAAAAAGAAAGAAAAAGAAATAGCCTAACAAAAATAAATCAGATTAGCTCAAATTATATCCTTCACAACTCATAGTGACAGAAAGTAGATTAATAGTTACCAAGGGCAACAGGGGAATGGGAGGTGACAGTTGAATGGATTCAGGGCTTGCTTCCTCTTAAGTTGATGAAAATGTTTTGGAATCAGAATGGTGATAAGTACACATCATGACTATCTCTAACTGTACACTTTATGCAGTTCCCCCCGATCCACAGTGCTAGGGATCAAACCTAGGGTCTTGTGCATGCTAGCAAAGTGCTCTACCACTGAACTATACCACCAGCCTCCCTAAACTGTACTCCAGCAGGTAAGTATTGTGGCGTGTGTATTACCAGTCAATAAAGAAGTAGTACAGTATTATGCTTCAAAGAATAATTACATATTTGGGGCTGGGCACGTGGCTCAGTGGAAAAGCACCTGCCTAGCATGCAACCAGCTGAGTGCACCACAGTAAGAGAACAATCATAACTGCTTCAAAAGTTCCACAGTCCACAGCAGCACACAGTGCTAAAGGAGCCTGCTGATGGGTGGTTAGACAGTGATCCTCTAGGACAAGAGCTGCTGGGAAGAAGTACATGTGAGGAGCCCATAGCCCTGCACCCTGAGAACATGCACAGTCCCCAACTCACATTCTTCAACTTTATACGGGTACGAAACTAACACTTCACATCTTGAGTCCTGCTCTTTCCTGGGCTACAGACACCAGTCTGTGCCTTGGGATGGGCAATAGCGGCAAGAACTGCAGCTCCCCATGAGGCAGGAGACCAGAGGGGCATGAGGAGCACCGCACACACCACGCTAGGGCGTCAGGCAGGTGGGGTAAAGGATGCATGCTCAACACGTGGCGGCTTCACTCGGTCACAGCCTCATCGTTACTGGAGGAGGAGCACCTGCCAGGTTCCGCCATCATCTTTATACACAAGAATGCCCAGCTCCTATTCTACGACTCTGCCTATGGGCTGAAAAGAAGACAGAAAAGCTTCAGCATTCTCACTGTTGATGTTCCCACCTGTTACATTCATGCTTCTGTTCATCTAACTTGTTTTACACTGAACAATATGAAAACACTCTGGCAACTCAATAACTTCCATATGGTAACAATGCCACCAATCATGGATAAACTTTACACCCTTTTCACCATTTTGTCCAGTTTGTTTTACTTCAATTTCTACTTATATAGAGCTATTAGGTAAAAAATGCACTAAGCAAAAGTTTTGTTAAATGTTACATTCCCAATAAATTGCAATCTAGTGTTTTGAGGAATCTCCACACTGATTTCCACAGTGGAAATCCTCCCACCAGCAGTGGAGGGTTTTTCTCCACAGCTCCGCCAGCATTTACTATTGGTTGATTTCTTGCTAACAGTCATTCTTTCTGGAGTGAGATGGAATCTCAGTGTTGTTTTAATTTGCATCTCTCAAATGACCAGTGATGAACATTTTTTCATATATTTATATGAAAAATGGAGGTTCCATTTTACCCAGCTATCCCCCTTCTCGGTATCTTCCCAAAAGAATTAAAAGCATATTACAGTGATCTATGCACACCCATGTTCATAGCAGCACAGTTTGTAATAGCTAAATCTTGGAAACAACCCAAATACCTATCAACCGATGAACAGATAAAGATGTGGGAGTTTTTTAATACAATAGAGTACTACTCAGCCATAAAGAAGGATGAGCTTGAGACATTTCTAGCTAAATGGATGCACATAGAGACCATGCTCTTAAGTGAAATAAATTGGACATACGTGTGTAGATACCACTTTCTCTGGTGTGAGAAAATAAAAGCGTAAATGAGAACCAAAATGTATAACAGATATTGTAAAATGGGAAGAAAAGGTTCAAATATGAAGGGGCACAAGGGAGGGAGGAGAGGGAAAGAAAGGGAAAAGAAAAGCATTGAGAAAAGGCAGATAAAATGGAAACAAGCTCTTGTAAATAAGGGGACAAGGGGTAGAAGAGAGGGGAAGAGAATGAAAAAAAAATATGAATCAAGATATGTACAGGTACAGATTCCACATGAATGTGATCATAATGTATATCTAAATTGTACCAATAAACTTAATCAATGATAAAAAATAAGACAATACTCATTGTGTAAAAAAAACCCTGCAATCTAAAGAATAAGGTTCACATCACTTCTCAGCCTTTTGGCTAAGATCAAGTGAAGAATAAGGGTCACATGAAGATGTTCATCACAAAAAACAGTTCAAAACAGGGCACATTTATGGGTGTTTATGAAGAGCCATTAAAGACATACCAAGTACTCTGGAATATGCTGGTAGTATGGTAGTGTAAGTAGCAAAATGTACGGATTTCCTTTTGAAATAAGGAAAATGTTTTGGCGCTAGAAACAGGTCACAGCTGTATAACACTGTAAATGAAGTGAATGTCACTTGTTTAAAATAATTTCATACATGAATCACTTTAAATTTTTTTAAAAGGGCAAAAATTTTGGATAAATGCATCAAAAAAGATATATGAAAGCCAAATAAGCACAAGATAAGCAATCTTAGTTATTAAAGAAATGTAAATCAGGGGCCAGGGATTTAGTTCAGTGGTTCCACCGCCTGCCTCGCAAGTGCAAGGACCTGAGTTCGATCCCCGGTACAAAAAAAAATAGATGCAAAGAGCTGGGCATGGTGGTGCACACCTGTAATCCCAGCACTCGGGAGGCTGAGGCAGAAGGATCACCTCAAGTTCAAAGCCAGCCTGGGCTACATAATGAGTTCAGGACCAACCTGAGCTACAAAGGAAGACCCTGCCTCAAAAAACTAAAAATAGGGCCAGGGATTTAGCTCAGTGGTTCCGTCACCTGCCTCACAAGCGCAAGGTACCGAGTTCAATCCCCAGTACCAAAAAAAAACCCTAAAATAAAATAAAATAGATGCCAGGCATGGTGGCATTCTGGGAGACTGAAGCAGGATTCGAAGTTCCAGCCCAGCCCAGGCAACTCAGTAATTTATCAAGACCTTGTCTCAAAATAAGAAAGGGCTTGCTGAGCATGGTGGCACAAGCCTGTAATCCCAGCACTCAGGAGGCTGAGGCAGGAGGATCACAGTGAGTTCGAGGCCAGCCTGGACTACATAATGAGTTTAGGGCCAGCCTGAACTACAAAGGGAGACTCCGCCTCAAAAAAAGAAAAAAAAGAAAGGGCTAGGGATGTAGCTCAGTGTGACAACTCCGGGTTCCACCCCAGTGTGACAAAAAAAGAAAAGTTTAAAATGAACAACAATTCCACTCCTCAGCATCTACCCAAGCGAAATAGAAACACGTCTGCACAAAACCATGCAACATGTTCACATCACCACAGTGTGGATCCTGACTGCCCTCCATTGCTCACAGGGGTTCGGGGGTGGTCAGAAAGGACTGAGGCCTTGCGGGTGGCCTTCCTGCCATGGGGGCTGTGCCCTGGAAAGCCTTCCACTTCCTCTTTGGTCCCCAACACACCCCTGCCACCAGGTGCAACCTCACCATGGCCCCAAAACCAGGGCCTGCCAGCCAGGAGGTTGTCTGCAAGGTTTTCTTAGATATTATGTTACAGCACCATAAAGCTGACTAACACAACAGTATCACGATCGCTAAAAACCAGACATAATCTGGTGTCCATCAACCGATGAGTAGACACAAAAAAATGTGGCACCTATACAATGGAATCAGCACTGCAAAGGAACAAATTACTGATATATAACAACATGAGTGAACCTCAAAAGCATGCTACAGGAAAGCAGCAAGACACAAAGGACAATCCAGAAAGTTCCTAACACAGATGAAACTCTGAGACAGAAGATGGCTCAGTGGTTGCTGGGGCCTGAAGCAAAAATAGGGGCTGACTGCAAATGGGCATAGGACAAATTTCCAAGTTGAGGAGAGTGTTCTAGAGCTAGATTGTAGTGACAAGACACACAATTCTTCAAGTTCACTAAAACTCACTGAACCACACATTTAAAATTGATGACCCCCAGGGCATGGAGGCACATTCCTGAAACCCTAGTACTTTGGGAGGCTGAGCCAGGAGGATCACTGAAAGTTTCAGGCCAGCCTGGACTACACAGTAAATTCAAGGCCAACCTGGACTACACAGCGAGATCTTGTCTTAAAAAACCAAAAATAAATAAAAACAGTAAAATTGATGTCTTTAAGGTGCAAAAAAATTCTGAGTAAAGGTATTGTTTTTAAATCAAGAAGTAAAATGGGCCCGGGATTTAGCTCAGTGGCTCCACACCTGCCTGGCAAGCACAAGGTCCTGAGTTCAATTGCTAGTACAAAAAAAAAAAAACCCAAACTATACACCCAGGTATGTGGCACATGCCTGTAATCCCAGCACTTTGGGAGGCTGAGGCAGGGTAGCAAGTTCAAACCCAGCCTAAGCAACGTAGTGAGATTCTGTCTCAAAATAAAAAATAAAAGAGCAAAAGGGCTAGGGATAAAGCTCAGCGCAAAGGCCCTAGGTCCCGTCCTAAGCAGTGTGTAGGGTGGTGGGGGCTATCTAAGAAACAAAAGGGCCGGGGATGGAGCTCAGTGGCACAGCACCTGGCTGGCAAGCGTGAAGTCCTGTTTGATTCCTAGTACCAAAAAAAAAAAAAATATATATATATATATATACACACATCTGTGTGTGTGTGTGTGTGTGTGTGTATGTATGCATGTGTGTGTGTATATGTGTAAAGAAGTGGGCTGAAACACTAAGAATAGTTATGCCAGAATGATTGAGAATTACAGATTTCCTTACACTCAAATTCTTTGACATGTATTTCTATTACTTTAATAGTGAAAAAAATGTAAAATATCTTTCTAGAAAAAGAAATGCCTATAAATTTTATAAACTTTTCAAAACTGATCAGTAAGTCTTTCACACTATCAAACAGTAAATATTTCAACGGTTTTTTTGTTTGTTTGGTTTTTTTTGTTGGTACCGGGGATCGAACTCGGGTCCTTGAGCTTGCGAGGCAGGCGGTGGAACCACTGAGCTAAATCCCCGCCCCAATATTTCAATGTTTTGTTTTGTTTTTGGTACCGGGGATCGAACTCAGGTTTTTGCGCTTGCGCAGCAGGCAGCGAAACCACTGAGCTAAATCCCCGGCCTCAATGTTTTTAAAATCACTGTGAAAATACTAACCTTCCAGCTAGCTGTACAATGCCAATCTCCACTTTCGCTTTTATCCCAGACCTGTAAGAAAACAAGACAGGTATTTTATATAAGGAATTCTTACAAACTGATACCAAAAACCCCCAAAATGAATCAGTACAGAAGCAAAGAAGGGAACATAAAACTCACAAAATACAATCCATAAGGGAATATTTTTTCAATCAAATATTTGTTGAGATCCTTACACGTGTCAGACACTGAGCCAGGCACTGAGGGATCCAAGTACCAAGCTCTGACAAGGAATAGGCAATTACATCCACAGTCAATTTCCTAGTATTTCCCCAGTACTGGGGATCAAACCCAGGGCCTTATGCACACTAGGCAAGAACTCTGAGCCACACCCACAGCCTCTCAACTCTAGCGGCAGATGGTGTCATTTTATCCAGGGCCCCTGACTACTGAAACATCCTTCACAGGGCAGGTAGAGGGTTGGGTTCAGCGAGCTGCAGAACACACTGCTTTGCTGCATGTTTCAAGGCACCTTGTCCAGTATGTATTTTGGTTCATCACCTTGTGGCCAAGACACTAACTCATGCCTGAATGGGCCCAGGAGACACAGGAGGTCTGAGCCAATTACAGCTCTCCTGTGCTTAAAGAACACCGGCAGACATTTCCACCCCATACCTGGGAACCATTTCAAGCTATAAAATTACCAACAGAACAAAACTCATAGCACTAAGCCACCATGAGAAGAATGTGCTTACAGTATATGCTAAAATAAGAAGGCAGGGGGCCAGGGATTTAGCTCAGTGCTGCCATTGCCTGCCTCACAAGCGCAAGGTTCCGAGTTCGATCCCCAGTACCAAAAAAAAAAAAAAAAGTAAAAATAAGACAGAATGCCACCCTGTTCCACCATGGCTGATAACAAGTGTGCAGAAACTCAAACTGGAATTCCACACCTTGTAGATGATGGCAGAACAATGGGTTCACTTTGAGATTGCACATAAATTTTAGCTACTAAGCAAATTCACAAATACGTAACCCACAAATAACACAGGTCAACCCACATATGTGACAAAAGTTAAATCAAAACTTTGAACTTTATTATTGCAAAAAAATTACAATTACAAAACAGGAGCCCACTGAACTTGTTTAAAAACATAATGATAAGCCCCAACATAGGAACAATGCTTGGAAATCAATACCCTTAACTAGCAACATAAAATGTTTCAACTGGGGTACAGCTCAGTGCTACAGGCTTGCCTATCACGTGGGAAGCCCTGGATTCTATCTTTAGCACTGCCAAAACAAAAACACCAATTTGCCAATTCTTAATCAAAACGTTTAAAGCTGGGTACAGTGCTGGACAGGTGTAACTATCTATTCAGGAGGGAGGCAGAGGAGTTGCAAATCCAAGGTCAGCCTGTCTCAAGGAAAAATATATAGTCTGCTTAGTTAAATGTCATTAATTATCATTATGTTAAAAGACGTTATCATCCCTTCAGAATAATTAGCAAGACAATGCAGCAACAATGGGAAAAAAATAAATTTTTGAATGCAAAGCTTAAATATATGAATATACAGCTGCGACAATTATTTAAAACACTAAAAACAACAACAACAACAACAACAACAACAACAGCCAGGCATGGTGGCACAGGTCTGTAATCCCAGCACTCGGGAGGCTGAAGCAAGAGGATCGCAGTGAGTTTGAGGCTGTCCTGGGCTAGTGAGATCCTGTCTCAAAAAACCAAACAAAAAAAAAAGGAAAAAGAAAAAAGAAAAAAAGAACAGAGGATATCAAAAAATATTAACAATAACGACTGTTACCATCACAATAAACCTGTGAGTAATCTTTCCTTTTTTTTTTTTTTTTTTTGGTACCGGGGATCAAACTCAGGACCTTGTGCTTGCAAGGCAGGCACGGTGCCACTGAGCTAAATCCCCGGCTAATGTTTCCTTTTTTAAAAAAGTACATCACATGCACAAATAAAAATCTGTATGCATACACACATACATGTAAGAAAAAGCACTATGAAAAGTGGACGGTAAGCCACAAAATAATGAAAAACAAAAATTAAATATAAACATCTATAATTTGTTATTTTCAGTTAAAAAAACCTATTTCATATGACCTCTTTATAAATTCCAATAAAGCTGATCTCAAGTTGTCATATAGAGTGTGAGCTCTTTTATCAACATACATACTGTTCATGTCACCCAACTTACAATTACGTAAGAGAATGTGATACATGAAACTCAAAAATATTTGTACTCCAATGTCACTGCAGACATTTTCACAATAGCCAAAAAGGATGGGTGGATAAAAAGATGAGCAAAATGTGCTCAATACAAACAAAATATTACTGGGCTTCAAAGAGAAATGAAGTTCTGATGTATACTACAAGACGGATGCACGCTGACAATAACATGCAAAGTGAAATAAATCAGACACAGGGCAAACATTCAACAATTCCACGGATACGAGGTACCCAGAATAAGCAAAGTCTCAGAATAGCATAAAGAGGAAGGCGGCTCGGAGGGGAGGGGATCAGGAGCTCCCGGCAGCAGATGCACTTCAAGCGCCGGGCGGCAGCTGACCGCGCACAGACGTCGCAGACGCTGACCTGTACGGGGCAAGCACCAGGGCTTTTCGACCGAAACCTTGCTGCTATCGGGACACTGGTAATTCAGCTTAAATGCAAGAATAAAAAACTGTCTTCAGACGTAGTTATTTCGGAGCTGTCCAGAACTCAAACAGCCCGCACTTCGGCTTCATCTCCAGGAGCGCCGACGGTGGCCCTGGACCCTGTCAGGTCCCATCCCATCCTCAGGGGCCGAACAGACGTCGCCGGCCCTGCGAAAAACCTCAACCCCTGGACTGCAGGCCCGGAACCTGCCAAGTGAGGGGCACGGGGAAGGGGCAGCACTCGACGCCAGAGACGCCCGGGTGCCGTCGCACCCACCACCTTAAGGGGAGCCTCCGCGACCGACCACGAGCGGGCCCGGCGGCGGCGAGAGCACGGCGAGGCCCCACCTGCGCAGGCGCAAGCACACCCGGCCCAAAGCGCAGGGCCCGCCTCACGACCGCGCAGGCGCACGGGGCGGGGCCCAAGGCCGGGAGCGCGCAGGCGCAAAGCCCAGTGGCCGGAGTGCGGTCTGGTGCGGCCGTGACCCTACAATGGGCAGGCGGGGGTCCCTTGGCGTGGCGGGGTCGGGCGCCAGGCTGCGCGCCGGCCTTGGCTCCTGGACCCAGGCTGCATCGTGCCCTGAAGGCGGCGAGCCCCGCTCCCTGCGCGGCCTCCCCCCGCCTCCCACCTCGGCCGCCCGCAGGCGCCACCGCACCTTGACGCTCTGGTCGCTGGAGCAGGTGGCCATGCGCCGCCCGTGGAAGTCGAAGGAGACATCGTGGATGAGGTCCTTATGGTCTGCCGCGATGCTGCGCGCCACGAACATGATTCCGCAGTGCTCTCAATTTCGAGACACCGACCGGGAGGCGACGCACCTTGACCCCGCAAGGCCCGCAGCAGCCCGCCGCGCAGGCCCCACCCGTCGTCACGGATGGCTCCGCCCCTCGCTCGTCACGGCCCGCCCCTCCCGTCATCACGCCTGGCCCCGCCCCCTCGCCTTGTCGTCACGCCTGGCCCCGCCCCTATTTCCCTGCCCCTCGCCCGTCACGGCCCGCCCCGCCCGCCGTCTTCCTGCTCTGCGCGTGCGCACCCCCCTCAGCAAAGCCTTTGGTAGGGTAATGAAGGCAAGGCGAGCTCATGGAGAAAGCGGAGCCTGCGAGGATGGAAAAGGTAATCTATGTGTAGATGTTACTCCGCGTGTGGGCTCCGACCGGAGGAGAGCCAGGAAGGAAGAGGACCAGATGGGGAGGAAGACACCCCTGGAGAGAGGAGGCCCGCCCAGGAGGAGGGAATTCCGCTGGAGGACGCTGAGTGGGCTGAGGGGGAGCGGGACCACCGAGGAGACGCCGGAGGAGGCGGAAGATGGCAACGGAGTCGGGTTGTCAGGCCTGGCCTGAACCAACAGGACAAAGCAGACGGGCTTTCAGCAAACAGCAGCTTCTCAGGAAATAGAGCGAATAGACTCAAAGCCAAGAACACAGCCCTCTGGCCTGCAGAAGTCCAGGGATTGTCCACACACCTGAGCAGACCGTCCCCGGGCGGCCAACTCATAACTGTTTCACGCAGGTTCCTCAGCCCCTTCAGTACCTACACGAGCCTAATCCCTTTCCCAGTCAGTTGCTAGTGTTGCTCTCACGGTGCTGTCCCATCCCCTCACGGATGAAATCGCTCCCAGGCAGCTGCCACTGTCTCTCTCCCAATGTCAGCCCGTCCACACACGGATCTGATGAACTCGGCTTTTCCCAGCTAGCTGCTAGAATCTCCTGATTTTACTTCCTGACTTTAGTCCATGTTTACTGGAATAAACTTTCCTTTCAAAAAGCCTGTTTTTGACAAGTGGATTCTTTATAACGGGTGTCTGAGGAGGAGGAAGAGGAGAGCGACCACGGTGGAGCAGGGAGTCATGGACCTGGAGGAATGTGGCCGAGGAGGAGGCTGGCTTTGGGGAGGAGGGCAGCAGGGGAGGCACCCGCTCAGCTGTCCCTGTCCTTGGCTGCCCTCCTCGTAGGCCACCCCTCCTCCACATCAGCCACCTTCAGTTCCGAGCCCTTATTCAGAAGGGGGCCGCCTCTGTTCCTGTCATAAGGTGGTCCACAGGGCCCTGCTTTAAATGGGATCCGGAGTGATTCTACTTTTGAAGACTTCTAGGCATAGCCCCCAGAAGTCTGGAACCGGATGTTGTGAAGGCTGGCCGCTGAGTTCCTGTCAGGATTTGTCCAGCCTCGGTGTCCTTGGTCTTGCACGAGGAAGATGCAGACAAGGTAAACGTCGGGCTGCTAAACTCTGCACTTCAGCCTCCCTGAGGAGTGCCCACAGCAGAGCTGAGCTGGAATCTGTCCCAATGTTTAAAGATAGTAAGAGAAGCCTAAAACGTTGACTTTCCTTGTCTCCTTTCTACCTACCTTTATTTCTCATATCCTACCTCAGTTTCACTGCCCTAACAAATCCCCTGGCTCCTGTTAAGCCCTCTCCCCAAAACCCCTAGCACCCACCAGTGCTTCCACTGTCTCCACAATGTCACAGAATGTCATCATTGGGTTCGTGGGATTTTCCCCCTAGCTCTTTCTCTTAGTCGTACATTCTAGGTTCCTCCCTGTCTGTTCAGGACTTGGTGACTCCTTTCCTTTAGTGCTGAGTAACATTCTCTTATCTGGACAGACCACGGTTCATCCACTGGCCCAGTGAGGGACATCCTGGAGGGACTGCAGAGATGAGTGTCAACTTCGGGGACCTGAAGGAGGCAGCGACTGTGAGGCGTACTGCATTCCCACTCCATGAGAACCAGCTTTCGGGCTCTGCACAGAGTGGGAGCGGCCCCAAACATGGGGAGCAGAGCTCTGCACCTCTTCCTGGGATGAGCCTGAGGGGCAGTCGTGAAGGGAACTCCTTCAAGCAGAGCATGTACAGATTTGAGCCGTATGCCTCTGCTTGGAACAAGAAATAAAGCAAGAGGTGCAATCGTATACCCAGTCATGGGCTGTGGCCAGGCAGTCAGGGACTTGGAAAGAACATGACTGGAAAACTGGTGGCAAGGGAATCTGAGGAAGAGGTGTGTAGATTCACTTAGTTAATCTTAGTACCGAGTTCCTGATGCAGCACCACTCCTGCACTTGGCCAGCTGCTAGAGCAGGGTCGGTATTTTGTCCTTCCCAGACCTGACACTTTCTCTGGATATAGACTTGCCTTCACCCTGCACTGCTTCTGTGAAATAATCTTCAGACTTGCAGAATGCACCGTGGGGTGCAGTCCACACAGCCCTGCTTCCATCAGGGAGCTCACTGGCCAGACAGTGAAGCGTGGCTGTGGCCCATGCTCGTGGGGTCTACTGATCGCACTATGCTCTCCACCACTCTGGCCAGGTCGGGGTGGGATGGCATTTGGAAGACCAGGTACAGCACCACAAGGGCCAGGCCTGCAGGGCAAGGGCCAGTTCTCCTAGGGCACTGTCGGCGTGTGTGTACAGGGCCACTTCTCCTGTAGCCAGGATTCAGGCCTGGAACCAGAGAGTGAACATGGGAGTGGACCTGTCACAACCACTGTCCCAACCTTCTTAGCTCCAAAGGGAGGCAAGTGTCTGCCAGGAGAGAGCGGTTCTGAATGGCTGGAAGCTGAGATGCCACCAAGGCTCTTTGGGCTTCTGGTGCCTCAGAGCCACAGGCAAAGAAGCAGTTGCCAGGCTGGCTGGGGCGGTGATCTTGGCTACTGGGGGAAAACGGGCTAACCCCCAGGCAGTGGGGAGACTGCAGTGTTTCTATGCCCTGTGGTTAAGGTCATGGAGAGCAGCAACAACCTAATTCACACAGGACCACAAATGCTCCATCCTGCTGCTTCAGATTCCAGGGTTAAAGGACATCACAGGAGATGAAACTTGGGTCTGTGGTTATGAGCCTGAGCCCAAGGTGCAGACTTCTCCATGGGAATCACCCAGTTCTCCTTGTGCAATAAAGCACATGAATCAAGATTCAACATCAAGGGCAGGGAATGTGGCTCAGCAGCACAGCACCTGCCTGGCAAGCACGAGGCCCTGAGTTTGATTCCCAGTACCAAAAACAGAAAAAAGATCCAACAACAAGGTGATGTTGTGTTTTTGATCTTGAGGGGAGTGTGTGCTAAGTTCAGACCCAGGAGCAGAACAGTGAACTCTGAATATTACAAGAGTTTATGAGAGCTTTTAAGAGATGATATGCTGCCGGGGATTTAGCTCAGTGGTTTCACCACCTGCCTCACAAGCACAAGGTCCCAAGTTCAATCCCCGGTACAAAAAAAATAAAATAAAGGGCCGGGGATTTAGCTCAGTGGTTCCAGCACCTGCCTCGCAAGCGCAAGGTCCTAAGTTCGATCCCTGGTATCAAAAAAATAAAAATAAATAAATAAATAAATGATATGCCTACAAAAGCCTGAGAAGTGAGCAGTTTCATCCTCCACCATGACAATGCTCTCTGTCATGCATGTCAAATAAAAACAGGGCACTGTGTCCTCATCCGCCATGTTCCCTGGGATGCGCCGGCACTGTGTGACTTCTGGCTTCTCTCCGAAGTCAAGATGAGCATGAAAGAGAACATTTTAGTTGAATGGGCCCTTGAGGCAGCCACAATAGCACAATTAAAGACACTCGAAAGGGCACTTTCAAACCTGCTTTAGAAAGTGGCAAAAACAGAGCAATGAGTGTATTTGAAGTGAGGGGGAGTGTTTTGAAGGAGATTCATCCAGTGTGTCTTTTACTAGAATAATTTTTTTAAAATTTAAACATCCACCGTATTTTTTTACACCTTTTATATCCTGTTTCTCTGAAAAACTCACTGCTTACCCTAGTTTGACTTGGTTTTATACTGTCACCTAGTGGAATTGCATTACACTTTTTCCACACACCTTCTTTTGCTACCCTTTGTGTGAGATTCAGCCTGTTTCTTGGAGAATCATCCCTTCCCTGCTGGTGGACTTGCGAGGGAGGCAGAGCAACTCAGGTCCCCTGTTAGCCAGGAGGTGGCGCTAAGACGTCATGTTAGAAGTTTGCAGAGCTGTAAATGCAGCGTCCTGAGTAGCAGGGACATCTGAAATGTTCCGTGGCCTGGAACGAACGGGAGAGTATGTTGTCAAGGTAGAAATGAAATCTCTCATTTCGACTCCACAAGCCTACAGTGTTCATCGAGGACACCGGGTCCCGACAGCAGTCCTGGGGCAGGGCTGCTTCTCCCAGGACCAGCTCTGGGGACAGAGACTGTGCTGCCGCTGCCAAGTGGCTGAGGAGCTGGGCTTCTATCCCGTGGCAGCCAGAGCCCCACACTTCCCCACCCCGACCCTAGGCCCGCGGTGAAGGCCAGTGTCTCCTGCATGCCCATGGCTGGTGAGCGTGTGGTCTCTGAGCTCGGGTCCCTGACTATCTGACAGTGGCAGTCAGTCTGCTGCCCCTCGGCTCTGTGTTCCCAAGGGGTAGGCAGACGCCCTCGCACTGGGGAAGGACACTGTTCCGAGGCTCTTGGAAAGGTCATCTAGAGAAAGGGAAGCAAGGCTGTCTTCAGGGCACCGTGGAGACTCACCCTCAGCCCGAGGAGGGTGGAGGGGGTTGGTGGGGAGGTGGAGGCCCACTCTGCACAGGGGATGGCATCTCTGAGCTTCTGAGGCTTCAGCTTGGCCTCCCGGGGCACTGGCTGGGCTCCCTTTCCCAGCCTAGAGGGCGACCCTGTGTCAACCAGGAACATTCTGGGGCCACACTGTCCTTCCTGCAGGGGCAGAGGGAGGTGGCTGTCAGAGGTCAGGGCCAGGGTACCTTCGCTGCACTCACTTCCTGTCTCCCATGCACCCTCAGAGCCCCTGGGGTGGGGACAGGGACTCAGTGTCCTCCCTGCACAGGGGTTGGAGGGTCCTGTGAGTTTGAGCCTTAAGAGGTTCAAGTTTCAGGCCTTGCCAGTAGGTGTGGCTGGGAATA